AAATAGTCGGACCGACGTAGTAATGTAATACGAAGGGTGCACCGCGGTCGGAAATGGTGCGCGCTTTAAGACTTGGTTGTCCTCTTGGTCCAAATAAGTAATGAAACAGTAAAAATTTATAGACACTTCGTCGGAGTACGGTTAAATATCTGGAGTTTCCCAACTACGCCATTTTTATATCATCCATATTTGCAACTCGAGTAATGATCATCACGAATATTCACTTTTACCCATTGAATGTTTAAAATAAAGTTAAAAATTATGTCTCGTAGTTTTTAGTTAATTCTTAAAGATGTTTTGGTGCATTTTCACATTGATATCTGCACAAAAAAAAATATGTTTATTTTTTTTTCTTCCGAAAAATATTGTTAATTTAAATATTTCTTAGGGCGCATTAATTTTTTTCGATCCACCTCGGTCACATTCATCAGTAAAGTGACCTGTGTTTGTATTTTTCAAGAATCTCTCAGCGATACAATTCCATTCTTAACGAAAATAATATCTATAAATTAGTTAGTGTAAGCGACATGATTGTTTCGTTTGTATGGATGATTGTGTTTGATGCCACGATGCCATCTGTTGGTTAAAATATATTCGTACTCTATGATTACACAATGTTAATCAAGAGGGCGCTAATCACTAGCGGCCAGTGTTAGAAAGGTCGTCCCGAGTATATTGTTTTGGAACAAGACGACGTCGGGAGAGTCGTCCAAACCGACGTTGAATTTAGTAAGGAATTCTTTCTTAATCCGACGTCGCGTCCGACGTCGTACCGACCAGGATTTTTATTCCCCATTTTGGTGCAGATTCAAGTAAATACGTAGTCGCGCAGACGTTGTGTACCGACGTCGGGTTGTTATAAGCGACGTTGGCCGGACGTCCAAATGCTATTTGGGACCAAATTTATAATAGTTTATAATGACATTAAATAGACAAGTTCGGCGCAAACAGAATTTAAATTGAAGTTTGCACTTATTTTTTTAATGTTATATCATAGTTCTATTAGGCACGAGCGAAGCTTTTGAGCAAGTGGTTAATAAAAACAAGAAGTTTATAAAACGAGTTAAATACTATACTTTATCTAGGTAATCCTATTGTATAATATTCGATTTTGTCCATATACAGTGTGACCTATTTGTTTGCGACTCACCCCTGTAAATTTTTTATTGTGCGATTTTAACTGCATTTGTTTTAAAGTGTAGATTTTGATAAAATGTATTATAGAAGCAAAAATACTGAATTCTCTATTTTTTGTTTTATTGTTGTTTTAGCCAAAATTAATAAGCTTTCTCTGCCGGGTTGTATTTACCATTTTTCAAGCATATTTCTTTGATATCTTAAAACATTATTTTTAGGTTAGGTTTAACCGACATTTGAGCTTATATTTTTTTTCCACTCCCACCTTTAAAACGACCATTATCGTACATGTTTTTATGACACTAAGTGACCTTTTAAATACACTTTGACAAGTTGTGGCTTTACGGCGCTTTAGTCACGGGCTGAAGTTAGTTTTAAGTTAGTTGACAGTTGTCAAATGTCATACAATTGTTAAAATAAAGTGCCTTTCTTGTAAAATAATACTAAATGTGAAAATTATTTTATTATCTCAATACAAAAATATTAAATAGTTTCTCAACGCCAATATTTGAAAAGTTTATATGAACATTGTACTGACCTTTTAATTTCGCCGGCAGTAAACTATAACTTAAATTCGGGCACGGACTCCACTGTAAAGTGCTCATAAAACATTTTCTTTACTTTTACTGTAAAAAACTTTTCATTTTCAAGAAATACATTTCGATTTATAACCTTTATAATCTGTGTTTATAAAATAAAAAAATTTGACATTTGACGGTGACACACAGATTCCCCTATTGTTTCATAGATGGCGCTCTATACAAATATTTGATTTAAATCATTTTAAGATAATAATATGATTTTTTTCTATATGGACTTACTAGTGTTATAATATAAAAATTATTATATCCTTGAAAAAAGTTTATTTATAATTGATTCAATTTTTTTTTATTTTTTCAAAATGGCTTTTAAAAATAACTAATTTAAAACAATGGAATAGAATTTTGTCAAGTAAAAATTGGCCTTGCATGTTAGATAAAGTGAGACGTAGTAGTAATTTTGGACGAAACTCAAAACAAATTTGTTCAAAGCGTGCGTATATAATAAACCGCCTAATTACACTTTGACAATTTGTTTCATAAAAAGCTAGTATCAATTAAAAGCCAACTAAGTGCCAGGTTTAAAAACTTTTAATTACTTAATGATTTACTAAGTTTTCAAAGTACATTGACTTTCCATTTCTTTTCTTTATATATAATTAATTAATATTTCTCAATATCCGCAAGAAAAAAATTAACGTGGTTGTAATAATTATTAAGTTGCGTAAGTGTATCAATAAAAAAAATTGATGGATAACCTCAGGGCTTAATATTAGGTAACTGATATAAGAATGTGTAAACACTATGCAATCTAATAGTTCGTTAACTAATATTTTTTGATTTTACATTTTTTGTATTGAAAGCTGATAATTTATTATTAGTTTATATACCTACCTACAATTAAACTATTTTTGTTCAAATAATTGAGGTTATGCTTAACACCAATTTCGTATTATTTTCTAAAATAGTATATTACACTACAAGGGCAGAAAGTGTGAGATTCCTGCACTGCGCGCCATGATGCCCGAGGCGAAGCCGAGGGCATCATGGCGCGCAGTTCAGGACTCTCACACTTTCTGCCCGTGTAGTGTATACTATTTTTCTTGCTACCCCGCAGAAAATACGGGAAAAAATTAAATGTATATAAAAAACCTTGTGTCAAAATTAAAATCTGACGTTTAATTTAATTCTGACGTTTACATTCAAAATCAATCAAACTGTAGCGTTGTCATGGTAATTCAGCGGTGCCAATACAGTAAAAATAAAAGGTTGTATTTTAATTAACAAATTACTACTTTATAACAAATAAAAGTACCATTAAACACTTAAAACAACATAAAAAGTAAAAAAGTAAAAACATAAATTGTTTATTTGTTGTTATAATTGCAAAATTATGTTTAAAACTGTCATATTTTTGTGTTTCTCATGTTGGCAGTACGAAATTTGAATGTTAAGCACACGACTAAAAAATTTTTACTCCCGCTATTAGAGTGTGCGCGTATAGCTTGACCAATGCAAGAAACGTAAACTTTCTGCCGTGAAATCGGGGACGAAACAACGTATTTTGAGTCGAGGTAGTAAGAAAATAATATTGTGACAAACTAAATGTGTACGAGGTGTGTTCAGAAAATATCGGGAATTTTCGTTTTTTTGAAACAAATATTTATTTATTCGTCCACATTAATGTTGTCGCCTTAAAAATAGTCCCCATTGGATATTATGCACATGTGCCAGCTCTTCTCTCAATACTTGAAACACTTCTAAAACTCGATCTTTGGGATAGCCTTTAGTTCTTTCAGCGATGCGCTTTTAGTGTCATCTATGCTTGCAAAACGACGGCCCTTTAAGGTTCTCTTTATTTTTGGGAATAGAAAAAAGTCAAACAGAGGCATGTCTGGCGAATATGAAGGCTGGGGCATCATTACAGTATTGTTTTTGGCCAAAAATTTTGTTCGTAATTTAACAATTTTAGAACAAATTTTGCTGCCACGCGTTTCATACCCAAAACATTCGAAAAAATTTCATGGGATGAGCCAATCGATATACCAACATCAGCGACTTCTCTGATGGTTTATAACCATTTCTTCCACTTTTTCCATGTTTTTATGGGTTGTTAATGCGCTTGTGCGTTCGGGGCGTTCGTCATCTTCAACGTCTTCACGGTCATCTTGGAAACTCTTATACCACTTCTAAACTCTTGTTTTACTTATAGCAGACTCACTATAGGCCTTTGTTAACATTTCACAGAATTTATTTCATTTTTTAAGCAAAATTGGATACAAATTCTTTGATCCATTTCTTTTAACGAACGAAAAATCGCCGAGCTCATAAAACACGTCTAACCTTAGCGGCTGCCACAGACAAAGTAAACAATGAAAACAGCAAAAGTTTTTACTTCGGGATCATGTATACCAACATAATGAAGAAAATTTTATGACAACCGGACCCTCCGAACCCGCGAAATTTAACAATTCGTATATTATATTATTTTCAGAAAATAGGACAAAATTGGCGTTAAATTGACAGATGCATAACCTCAATTATTTACAAAAAATTACTTACAAATACTTTATTAATTAATTGTGTTTAAACAAAAAATATCTGTCGTAAAAATAACATATTTTGTGTAAAAAATATCAGCTTTCAGAAAAAAGGCCAGAAAATCGCTTTTTTACTTTAATTATTTTTTTTATGGTATTTCTTTACATATAATAATAAATAAATATTTTTAATGAAAAGCTAAAGATTTTTTTTCCAAGAACAGTATTGTTGTTTTTTAATTATTTACAAAATATCGAACAAGAAAATCCTTTTTTTCTTCTTTAACATTAACAGCCGCTTATTGTAAATAAGTAAATTAAGGACGCCATGGCGAATCGATTTTGACATTAACTGTCAAACCAAAAACTGTGATACCAACTATCTAAAGTAAAATTCGACCAAATTAAATTTAAGGTATAAAATTAATTTGTTTTATAAAATTTTTGTAAAATACTCATGTCAAGACATTTTGTCGCACTCGTCCATTACAAATTGTGCAAAATTTGTTTTACACATTTAAAAATGTTTCCTTTAAACAACATAATAATAAAATATTAGAAATAAAACTATATATTATAATAAAATTAAAAAACAAGCAATCATTTATTGTTGTGCTTTACACACTGCACAAGTGCAAACAATAATACCATCGATTTTCCTGGGGATCAAATTTATCGCTATTTCTAACACAAATAAACAAAGCCCGCAACGAAATCAAGTTCACTGCCTCTCTCGGACCAACCGCAAAGCAACAAACAAAAGAAATCGCAAGCATCAACTCACCTTTGCGTTGCAACGCTCAGCTGATTCGATGCGATGAAGGCTAAAAATAAAAGAACGTCACTGCTATACGGTAAAAAGTAAAAAGATGGGTTGCGGGCACTTTTCAGTTCAGAGGTCGGGAAACCACTGAAAATTCCCGTCACTCGGTGACTTCTTTATGTTGGGAGTTCCCCACCTAGCGCGCATGCGCAAACCGCGGCTGTTTTCTTTGTGCATCCTGAGTATTCCTGAATACACTGGGATGTTTTAATCATGTCAATGATATATACGCAAATTAATGGATATAATCCTGGATTTAATTTTGAGAGGTTTTTATGTTAAACATGTTTGCTTGCTTTAAGATCCAGTTTAAACATGCTAATGTTTGTAGGTACACATTATGCATTATACATGATGGAGAATGATGATATTTTTATAATGCAATCGCGTTTTCAACACTGCTATACATTATTTATTCTGAGATAAAAATTTTAACTTGTTTTACAAAGTAATATTTTTATACTTTCAAGGTTACGTTTTGTCCCAGGGATGCTATCCCTTGACTATTGACCTTATTTTCTCCTCTGGAACAAAATCGTATTGGGTCAAAGTCAACTGTAAGAGACACTCTTCCAGATGCAGAAAGGCATTGATAAATATAGTTATTTGTCAAAAAAACAGTTCTATATCGTTTACAAAAACGTTTTGTGGTATTAATGAGACCCTAATGGTATTATTCATAGAAATTTATGTAAATTTAACAACAAATTAATTTTTAATTCAATAAACTATTTTCATTGTAACAATGGTCACATTTTTAACCTACTGTTGGGTATTGGGTAGTTTTTTTTAAATAATTGCAAGGCATTAAAACAAATTATTTATTATAACAAAAAATGTAACTCATATTATATTATAAAATAAAAAAAATATGAACTTACTTTTTAAACAACAAGTCTGCTTCGTTTATAGAATAGACCTTAAATATTTCTTTTGGAAAACGTCGAAATTTTAATTTATTGATATTTTTATCATGCTGAATTTTACCACACTTCACTCGCACAAGTGAAATCAATAAGATTATAACGCAGACTGTGGATTATAAAGTTATGTTCACCAAGGAGAGCGCTGGCCCTTTCACCCTCTTTTTAGGGAAATAACAGAAATTTTGTTACCATTACAAAACAATAGTAAATATTAAAAGAGTCTTTATAGCACTAAAATATTTTTGTTATTGTTCTTAACGTAAGCTATTAACAAAGATTTTCTAAGTGAAATAAAATTAATTTGAATTACAGGCTGTAATTTACAGCTATATACTATATAGTAATGCCATAGTAAAACTAAGTGACCTTTTAAATACACATTGACAAGTTGTGGCTTTATGGCGCTTTAGTCACGGGCTGAAGTTAGTTTTAAGTTAGTTGACAGTTGTCAAATGTCATACAATTGTTAAAATAAAGATCCTTTCTTGTAAAATAATACTAAATGTGAAAATTATTTCTCAATCTCAATACAAAAATACAAAAGTATTAAATAGTTTCTCAACGGCAATATTTAAAAAGTTTATATGAACATTGTACTGACCTTTTAATTTCGCCGGCAGTAAACTATAACTTAAATTCGGGCACGGACTCCACTGTAAAGTCCTCATAAAACATTTTCTTTACTTTCACTGTGAAAAACTGTCAATTTTTAAGAAATACATTTCGATTTATAACCTATGTAATCTGTGTTTATAAAATACAAAAATTTGATATTTGACGGTGACACACAGATTCCCCTATTGTTTCATAGATGGCGCTCTATACAGATTTTTGATTTAGATCATTTTAAGATAATAATAAGTATTTGTCGTAGAAAAAGTATAGTATGGCGTTTATCAAACTTGATACATAATATACTATTATCGGCTCTATAAATTTCATCTTGTTAATGTCTATTTAAAAGATCACTTAGTGTTATGGTTATTAAAGTTGGAAATAGGAATAATTATTCAATGATTGTATATATTAGGCAATTATATTTATTTTTTTAATTATTTTGGCATAAATTGTTTTTTATAGGTATTTTTAAAAGATATTATGAAAAGTATAGGACAATATACGGCCTTAAGTCACTATAGGTATAATATTTGTTAATTTTATTTATTATTTCACCTTGAAGCAACCTTATGTTTACAATAAAATTAATTATATTCAATCTATCCAAATATGTTTGTAAAATCCACGTCTATTTTAAAACCGCAAACAAAGATTAAATAAAATGTTATAAATATAAAATAATTAAACTACAATTAATACATATAATAATTAAATTATTTTACTTGAATAATTGTACATTCTTTTAACTTTATATACAGTTGGATTATAAAATATTTAAAGCTGTTTGTAACATAAATAATATCAAGTTATTGACACACCAATTGAAGATGACACAATTCGTTTTGTTATAAGGGTCAAGATAATAACATCAATATGTCACGATTGCGAAATGCTGATAAAATAATAAATAATAAAAGGCACGGATGTGGTTAAAAAAATTTAAAAAAATGGTTTTAATAAACAAAATCATTCTAGTTTTTTTTACAAAAATCTAAATTGCAAATTAATCATAGGCAATATATTATATTATATATATATATATATATATATATATATATATATTTGTAACCCCATCCTGGACATACATACATAAGTGTCCCAATTTACACCCAATTGACACTAATGCTCTTATTGCGATCTCCAAGGTCGTTTTAAAACTATACTATAAAACTTTGAATAAAACCAAATGATCTTCAAGACAGCTTTAGGACCACCCTTAAAAAGTCTTCAAGACTAAATTTTAAAATTATATTAAAAGCATTTAGTTTTATTTTTACATTCATAAAAAGTTCTATAAGGCAACTTAAAATTTATGTATTAAAACTTATTTGCATTTAAAATATATTTGCCTTATGCAGAAACGTTGATTTATTTATATCAACTGATTAAGCATATCAGTGAATATATGTAGGTTTTTGCACGATTTGGCAACGTAGTATTTTTCTTTAAAAACTGTTGTTTTATAAAATAAATTGGGTAATTATCTTTCAACGTTTATATTTTCCCTAAAAAAGTCGATTTCTATACATTGACATTTTAAATTAGACGTAAAACAATTTAAATGCCATCAAGATTTATTTGATATTTGTGACATTTGCTTTTAACCATAGAAAATAATTTCGCTAATATAAGTCTTTGATATAAGTCATGGTTTACTAGATTTGTTTTAGGCCAATAAAATCATCTAAAATGTAAATCGGTTGATATAATTTATATCAGTCGTTAACGACTGATTTAAAATGTCGATAAAAGTAGGCAGTGATACTGCCGCAGTATTTTTGTTTATAAATATACATGAAAAAATAAATTCAGAAGGTAATTACTACCATGTTAATTATATCAAATACCTTTGCTGTTTTTTTATGTGATTAAAAAGCTGAATGCTTGAAATCAATTGATTTATAACTTTCTTTAGTTTCATTGTAAAATAATTACCCCTAACATTGAACTTGGGTGAAAATAATTATTGATTCATTTTTTTATTATTAAAAACATATGTACATACCTTCCATAAATATTTACTTTATAATATAATACCCAGATAATTAAAAAAAATACTATTTATTAAAAAATGATTATAAAAAAACCAAAATTGTGTTTAAAAAATATTTGTCTTATTTTTTAAATACTTTTGAAGAATTTTAAATTTTATACCATGTTCAACTTATTTTTTCTTACAGTAGGTTTTGGGTAAAGGGCTTAACAAAGTAGAGGGGACTTTTTTTCTGAGGAAATTTTTACTCCATTTATTTTTGGACTATTAAAAAGAAAATGAAATGAAATGTAAAAATTATAAAAATGTATCCCTGCGCATTCGCCATTCTTGACAATACACATCGTGACCAATCCAATTAAGTTATTTAACTAATTTAAACATTTTAATTTATTTATTCATGTAAAAAATGTATACCCATTATTTATATAAAAAGCCGTAATTATGGTACGTCATAAAAAATTGACATAAAAAACAACAAAATTTCATAGACATCCAACAACAAATTTATTTGTTTGTTTATCAAAGTAGGTACTGTTTTTAAAGGCCGAATCAATTTGGGTAATTGATAATAAAAAGGTTTGCGTGACAACTTTCAATAGGTCGTAATTGGGCCAATTAGAGACAGGTTTCATGTCGACGGTACCTACGATGGCGATGCTATGCGGTCGAGTTAAAAAGGTTTTTATAACTGGTTTTATGAGAATAAAATGCACAAAGTTTATCAAAATTCCTTTTGTGTGAAGGTAGAAAATATCCACTCATAAAATTTTCATGATTTTGTAGGTATAAATGTTTTAAGTCAAATTTGGTAGTTATAGGGTTTTCTACAAAAAAAAATCATAAAAATATATGGGTTATTCTACAAAAGTTGGGCAACTTTTGACCTCATTTTATTTATATAGTTTTCGGAGAAAATTAAACAGTATTTTGTTATGAGAACATAATAAATATAACATAATAAATATAACATAATAAATATACTGTTCAAAACAGTTTCTGAAATATCTGTGTTTTCTAAATTTGAATGCAAGGGAAGTGACGAGTATACCAGGGTACTAATTAAATACATAATTTATTGGAAAATATAAGATTTATTGCAACTTTGAGCAAATTATACAGTAAATATCTTAAAATCAAATAATACCACACATCAGTGGCGGCTGGTGGATTTTGGGTATACCGATATCTCAATTATTAGATATGGGACCCACACCAAATTTATATGAGTTTATAATGACATTAAATAAACAAGTTCCGCGCAAGCAGAATTTAAATTGAAGTTTGCGAAAAAAAGATAACCGAAACATCGAACATGGAACTGACGACACAGTACTGATGAATGGGATACAAATTTGAGATTATAATTCGGAATTAAGTATTTTACTGATATTTTTTATTAGTTGATGCTACTTATCAATAAATCACATATAGCCTTATATAAATTACAATGAAATATATATACGTAAGAAAATAACTACTCACCACAGTACTGAAATTTTGACTGGAACTATACGTGCATTCACCACAACTTCGCCGCTTGCATTGTTTTCAATATGACTGTCGTGCAAAGGGCGGACTCTGTAGGTAATTTTTTACCAACACTTGAGTTAAAACGAGGACTTGACGTTTAAACTTCAATATTTCGCAGGAATTTTGAATTTTAACATTGGACACAGAACTGACGGGTAAAAGTGAGTACAAAGATTATCAATTTTTTAAAAATTGCTATTATTCGAATCTATGATAAAATATGAAAAATACATTATTTAATTTTTTATAGTTTGTAGTGAAATTGAAAAATTTAAGATAAATTGAATATATTTTAAAATAAAATCACTCAAATATTTGATTCAGGAGTTGTGACACGCCAAGGTACTGATGTTTTGAATATTTATTATGTTTTTCTACAAACGTGCTTTTGAAAAAATACATTAAAATTGGGTGGACAAGTTAAAAAAACCTGGATCTTTTGTAATATACTAAAATATTTACAAAAAATATTTAAATACCTAATTTATTGACTGATGACATCAAGTTGTCCAACTTTTGTAGAATCACCCATATGCAAAAACCATAAAATTGTTTTTATTTTTTTTAAAATCTAAGTTAGTTAATATTTATTAAAAAAATGTTTTTCAAACATGTATGAAGAAAAAATATAAAAAATATTTAAATGTTAAATTAACAAAAATAAAAACAAAGAAATTTAAGTAAATCATGTTAAATTATATATAAACTATGTGGAGAAAAAACACACTTGGCATTAATGTAATATAATAAAATACTGAATACCTTTTGACATAAGGTGTAACGAAAAAATATTAAAAAAAATATTTTTCCAAATATAAAGAAAAAATATGCATAAGAATTTTTTTATATTTTTTGTGATACGCCACTGGTTACACACTTGTGTTCTGTGAGTACATAGATACCAACCAACAAAGAAGCTGCGTTGCCAGTTTTTCTTGCAAAAAATAAATAAAAACTCAATAATAGCTCTAATACCCTTCTGTATTTATTTACTCACCCAGCTATTAGCTTAAGCAATGATTAGAAAATTTAGTCCCTATTTTAAAAACTCCACAACCACAAAATTAATTTTTTCATCGGTTTTTTTCTTTCTGTTTACTCACATTCAATTTGTGTGAATAAATCCAAAAGCACTTACCTTAGTTAATATATTTAAAATTTAAGCACATAACCTAAAATTTGAAAGAAATGCACTAGATTCTGTCATAAAAGTTGCCAGATTTTGTTTAAATTTATATTCATTATAAAAATGACAAATTCAACAATTAATAAAAACGCCAAATTAACAGTTTGTATTACATATTACCCTGTATATCATATAAAATTTGTACTCTTATAAAAATTTATATAAACATTAACCAACAAAATTTTTTTATTTTGCTGTTTGATACTGTAATTTTGTTGACCAGTGTTTTTACAAATATACAATAATAAATAATTATTTAATATTATAATATTAAATTATTTTATATTTAAATTTTGTATTTCTTCCTCTAATCTAGCCACATCTAACTCCAGAAAACTTGTAGCTTCATTTTCAGCGTCATCAGTCTAAAAATAAATGACATTAATTAGGCACAACAATATTGGGTTGAAAAGGAAACAACGTACATCAAATTTAACACTACTAATGTTCACTAAAAGCTCCTTTTCATTTTCGCTTAATTGCCTTATGACATTCTCTTTTTCCTCTATGCTTTCCTTTACGCCATTCAAATGGGTTTCGTAATGTTTTATTGTCTCTTTGCCTTCCTTATACACTTTGTCTATTTTTTCTTTCAAGAGCTTCTCTTCTTCCAGTAAACTGCTCAATTTTTCATTTAAGTTCCTTTGAACTTTTATCTTGTAATTGTTTGATATTTTGCATTCGTCAATTTGTCTCGAAAGAATGTGAATCTAAAAAATAAAATGTTGAATAAAATTATTCAATATTTTAATAATACAAAATACTAACCTTTTGTTGAAGTCTAGCAGCTTCATTTTGCAAGTCTATTATCCGTTCTTCAGATTCTTCCTTTTCTAGTTTCAGTCTGTCCAGTTCCGAAGTTTCTTGTCCCCAGTATAATAAACGGGCCACCATATTTTCATTTTCTGTTATTACTTCTTTACTACCATCACAAATCTAAAAAATAAAATATAAAGTCAAATTATTAAACATTGCTGTATAGTAATGAGAAAACATAGAAAAAGTGGTTCCATCTATCGCATTTAGCTTGAAATTAGTATAGATAACTGTAAAATTACAGGTCACTGTAGAATAAATAAATATAATGTAATTGTTTCAATTATTGTAGGTTACATCCCTAATAGCACAGTTTATTCTAAGAATGTTTTTAAACCTTCCAGTGGGAATATTCTTAGGATCATGCTATATTTCTTCTAGTCATGTTCTAAGAATGTTTTTTAAACCTTCCAGTGAGAATATTCTTAGGATCATGGTATATTTCTTCTAGTCATGTTCTAAGAATGTTTTTTAAACCTTCCAGTGAGAATATTCTTAGGATCATGCTATATTTCTTCTAAAGAACATGCTTAAAAGAAATATAGCATAATCCTAAGAATATTCTCACTGGCCTATCTTAGAAGGTGCAAAGTTTAGTGGTAAAAATTAATCCACTCTAAACATATGCTTAGAATGTTGAGAAAGTAATTGCTATAGAAAGTTCATTTAGGAATATTCCTTGAACATTCAGTTCAGTTGGGTACCTATAGTATAATAGTAAAATATACCATAATCTACGTATAAAGGTACCTATACTTAGTATTAAATACTAAGTAAAAAACACTACCCAAAATATTTTTTTATAGATATTAAATAATTATAAATAATAAAATAATATTAAATAATTTTGTTAAATTAAAACAATATTCGATAACAAAAATACTTTTACTATAGGTATCTAAATTATCCGGCTTTTACATAATCTTCTATCCAACTTAAATACAATGAAAAATGTTTTTTTTATGAAGAACTATTTGGTTTTTTCTTTTATGAAGAATTATTTTATAATAGGAAATATTTTGTTTTTTAATATTTTATTTTGTTAAAAATAAATATTTATTAATTTGTATAGCGATTTTTTATATCTGAATTAACATTTTTATGTATAATAATCCTAACTATCTTCAACTTCAATCTAATCTGACTTATCCCACAAAATTTTACAATTTCACTTTTTATGAAATAATGTCATACAACTTATGGTTTAGAGGTCAAATTGTTTATTTAATATTTTTAAATAAATATGTCGCAAAATTTTTTAAGGGGACAACAAATACATTTCACTGTCATATTATGACAGTGAGGCGTATTATCATTGTTTGTCGCCTCCTGAAGAATTTTACGAATGTAGAATCCAACATATTAGAACGTGGGTATCGGACATATTTGGAAATATTCTCAAAAGCTTCTTAGAAGCTCCATAAGAAACCTTCTAAGAACATTCCAGAAACGTATTCTTAGAATGCTTTTTAGGAAGGTTTTAAGAAGCTTTTAAGAATCTAATTACATCATTAAAAGGGTATCTATTGAATGTTTTAAAAGTCCCTAAGAACATTTTTAGCAATAAGGGAAGGTTCTAAGAATATTCCATTATTCCGGGTCATATCTTCTTAGAAGATTCTTAGAATCAAATTTTGCTATCAGGGTCAAATTAACAAAAAACTTACCAGTAGGTTCATCTCGTTTTTCAAATTACTTATATCCTGCTTAACCGTTTTAAACTCTCTTAAAACCTTATCCTCCCTCAATTTAAACTCAATGTACTCCTCTTGAAAATGCCTCGCAGTGGTGGGGTCCTTTATATCGTTTATGTCCCTCTGCAAGTGGTTCTGTTCTTGCTTTAATTTATGTATTATTTCGTTTTGTTCCGCTATTTTTAGCCTATGCTCCGTCAGCTCTTCTAGCAGTTTTATGTGTTCTTTTATCGAGAGCCGCTCCGAAATCGAGTTCAGTTCGTTCATTGACGACATGCAGGATAATTGCTGGAAAGAATTAAATTGAATTCAAAGTAAAACAACTCGTTCACTATTCCACAAGAAATCATAACATTTGATTCTAATATAGCCCTATTCTTAAGAATTTTGAATACGCTAGGTTGAATTCAAAAATAACCCCTTATTGTTTTAATAACTACGAATAATACTCTGAAGTATTTTTTATTTTTGTTTCAAAAATATTGTAGCTTCAATGTAAACAATACTTTTACTGAAAATAGTTTACATTTATATGTGATGAAAGGTGGGTATGTACAAAAAAACAAAACATTTATATATTTATTTTAGTAAAACTAACAAAGTGGTAACTCTATTGAGGCAGTGAGATTAGCAGAAAATGGCCCCAAACCGTTTGCAACAAGACTTCAGTTGCTCAATACACTAAACCATCAGAAATTTGATGCTATTACAAACCTATTATAATAAATAACGGTTTGTTTTTACCCAAAATACCCAAATAGCTACCCATTTTTTGCATTTTTCTTGCCATTTTTCCTTGTTTATTCCCGTTGCCCGTTATTATTATTAAATAGGAAAACTGAAACTATAAAAGTTTTTGAGATATAGTCAATTCTATATTATATGTAAAATTAATTATATTTCAAAAACCGTTCTACTTTTATAACTTTTGACGACATTTTAGGATTCAGCAAATAATATTTTATAGGAATTGACTGCTAAATGTCCTGGATACAAATTGCTGTTAACGAGAATTATTAGTGGCTGCTTTTTCGCTATGACATTTTTGACTAATTCATTTTTAGAGAGTAAGTAATACACGGTGCTGTTCTGAGAGGTGATTTTTGGACTTTCTGTGAAACCTAATTTTTTTTATATTCTTGTTAATTAGGTCATAACTAAAATTTTAAGAGCAAATTGTTTTAATTGGCTGTTTATTAAAAATATTATGCACTCTTTCAATTATCCAATTAAAACTAGCAATTTAATTTAAATATTTAATATTTGCATAACTAATAAAAAGGTTTTTACAATTTTTTTTATATATTTTACTGTTTTGTTGCAATAAACGTTCAAACTTTTAATCTAACCTTTGACGTATACATTTATGTTCCCTTAATTAATATATCCTTAAAGGTTGCCATGAAACTTAGATCTATTAAAAATTTATTTGATGTTTGAATTGTCATTTTCAGTATACGTATTTTGTAATTTTTGTTTAGTTTTTTAAAGGGTTTTTATAAACAAAAATGAAAAATTGTAGTAAAAGTTACGAAGAAATTCATGAAATTTAACTAAGGACCGGTTTATTCATATTCAGTAAAGTTTATCGGGCCGATAACTTTCATGTCTTGGCAATATCTAGTATCCAAAGAAATTATTCGTCAAATAAATCAAAAATGAATAAATCGGCCCTAAATAAAATTAAGCACCCTTAGAAATATTGTTTAATAAATGTATACTATACATTTAACCTTAAATTAAAACTTTAAACGTGTATTACAACAAAACAGTAAAAGATATAAAAAATGTATAGACCTTTTTTTAGGAAATTAACTAATCTTTAATCTGATTTAAAAAGTTATGATAATATTTAAATAAAATCGCAAGTTTTAATTGGAGAATTAAAAGTGTGCATACATATTTTTAATAAACATCCAATTAAAACAAAATTAACCGTCAAATTTTTTTTATTTTGCTCTTAAAATTTTATTTATGAACTAATTAACAAGAATATAAAAAAAATTAGGTTTCACAGAAAGTCCAAAAATCACCTCTCAGAACAGCACCGTGAATATAGTGATTTCTTCGTAACAGAACATCTTGGAGAATAACAGTGCGTGATAGAGAACATAAAAAACTAATGGCAACAAAATCAATAAATTCGGAAAAGAGTTTTAACATACCACCCGAAAAAATATTAGATATATATAAATCATCCTGTTCCGGCCTAAACATTATAAATGCTTCACAAACTAGAGATACCACACTAATGATATTTGCAACAAACTATTTCAGAAGTCAGACCAAGGAATTAGTGGTTACCTTCAGAATCCAGAAAAAGGATGAGGAATCCGAGAAAGAAATATATAATTTATATGATATTTACAAAACCTAGCATAGCATTAATATAGGCAACCCAGAGGTGTGTTGTACACGTGTACTATTACTATACATTTTTCACTACACCTTAATCGTCCTACGATAAAAGAAAGGTCTTCGACCGTTCTTCACGTAACTTAACTCCCTAAGGCTAATAGTCACGATACCCAACAACCTGACACGTAATCACGTAAAAGAGAAATTACCGTACAAAAATCCACCATATTTTAGTAAAATGTTCTCTAATTTGAGGGTTTTAAAGTGCTTTTTCTTACCATATTATCCGATGAAGATGTAACGAACAAGTCCACTTCTTTAGCAGCTTCAAGAGCTCTGGCATTTTGCGAATTTATTTTTCTTTGTTTTATTACTTCGTTGAATAAAACTTGCAAGTTTGTGTTTACATCTGCGGCTCTGATGCTGTTACTTTTAATCCTATCTTCGATTTCGTCCCTGTGAAGAAGTAGAGCCTTTTCTTTGTTTTTAAGCTCTTCATTTCGCCTTTTTGCTTCCTAAAAACGCCATTAAAAAAGTATTATTTATTGTTTTGTCTTGTATTTTTATTAAAATTCTATTTATTTACCTTTAATTCGTGTCCTTGTTCCTCGCATCTACTTAAGAACATCATGTTTAAAAATACACTGCATTTGTATGCGGTTATAACGTAAAACAGGTGGAGCGTATTGTTTACAAGCATTTATCTGATAATGATTATAGGTATGATAATCCACAGGTCGTCGGTTGTAAGGTAATTTTAATGTGGCCATTTGTAGGCGTTATTTTTACATTTGCATTTTAAAAAATGCCTTTGTTCTATTATATTATATTAAGTATAATTTATAAAATATTTTTTGTATGAATCATCATTATTAACTAACCATATAAGAGAAAACAAAAAGCAAACATCATCATATCTTGCTAAAAGATAACAATCGCGTAAAATGATATAACAATTTGTGTAATAAAATTGTATTGAATTAAAAAAAACAGAATAGGGTAAACCACACTTAAGGAATATTATATAAAAATTTTTTTGTAAATATCATATAATTCATATATTTCTTTCTCGGATTCCTTACCCCTTTTCTGGATTCTGAAGGTAATTACTAATTCCTTGGTCTGACTTCTGAAATAGTTTCTTGCAAATATCATTAAGTGTGGTATCTCTAGTTTGTGAAGCATTTATAATGTTTAGGCCGGAACAGGATTTATATATATCTAATATTTTTTCGGGTGGTATGTTAAAAGTATTTTCCGAATTTATTAATTTTGTTGCCATTATTTTTTTATGTTCTCTATCATGCACTGTATTTAAATCACTGTTATTCTGCAAGATGTCCTGTGACGAAGAAATCACTATATTACTTACTCTCTAAAAATGAATCAGTCAAAAATGTCATAGCGAAAAAGCAGCCACTAATAATTCTCGTCAACAGCAATTCGTATCCAGGATATTTAGCAGTCAATTCCTTCTCAAAAATAATTGAGAAAATTTATTCAATAAGATTACTAGACTTTTTAATGCAAAACAAAATAATTAATAATAATCAACATGGTTTTTTGAGAGGTCGCTCTACTTCTTCTGCAATAACAACGTTCTTGAATGACTTATATTATAACATGGATAGAGGTAATAAATGCTTAGGCATATTTGCAGATCTCAGTAAAGCTTTTGATTTGATTGATCATAACTTATTATTCAGTAAACTAAACAGGTATGGCATAAGAGGAAATGCATTTAACTGGCTTCAAAGTTATTTAATTAATAGAAAACACTTTGTAGAAATAGATCATAATAAATCTGAACTTTTAATTAGCCAAAGAGGTGTGCCACAGGGATCAACCCTTGGCCCTCTATTGTATATTGTATTTGTAACTGACCTAAATATTCCAAAAACTGTTGTATTTGCTGACGATACTTCGTTATTAACAACTAGTCCAAACTTTACTACTCTATCAATTGTAGCAAATCAAAGATTTCTAGAGTTGAATAGATATTTTAATGAAAATCAATTATTTATGAATATATCAAAAACAGTTTTTATGCAGTTTAGTTTGCAAAATAATGAGAATGAGTCTAGCCATTTGATTAAAACTAATAATAAATCATTGATAAGAGTAAATAATACAAAGTTTTTAGGAGTTGAGATCGACTCCAATCTAAAATTTACATCTCATATTAACAGCCTGTGCAACAAAATCGCACAATCATGTTATGCAATAAGAAGACTTCGAAGCATCACTAATGTAGAGATTCTAAAAATGTATTACTATGCGCATGTTCATTCTCTAATCAGATACGGAATAATAGCCTGGGGTACCTCTGTAAATATTAATAGGGTTTTTAAATTGCAGAAGAGAGTTTTAAGAACCATGTTGTTTCTGAGCAATAGTGTTAGTTGCAGGAGTTTCTTTAAAAAATTAAACATTATGACACTGCCTAGCCTATTTATATACATTACATTACTTTATGCTAAAGATAACATTTTAAACTTCAGTAAAGTCAATAGCCACCACCAATATAATACTAGGAATGCCAATTTGCTCGAAATACCACCTCACAAAACTTCAAACTATGAGAAATGTCCTAAATATATAGCAATAAAATATTTTAATCATTTACCGGATAATATAAAAAATCTTAATGCAAAAAAGTTTAAAATTAAAATTAAAAGTATACTTTTAGAAAAGGAATATTATTCAACCAATGAATATTTGTGTGACCTGGCACTGCTGTGATATTTCTAATTAATGTGATAATTTTGTTTTTTGTTTTGATATTTGTGTAATAGGTATTGTATCGTAATCTACCATATGTCTTGTAAATTTATTTAATTATGTACCCAGTATTGACGTATTCCATACAATGTATTTTGTCGCAGGAATAAAGAGATTATTATTATTATTATTATTATTATTATGAAATATTATTTGCTGAATCCGAAAATGTCGTCAAAAGTTATAAAAGTAGAACGGTTTTTGAAATATAATCAATTTTACATATAATATGGAATTGACTATATCTCAAAAACTTTTATAGTATTTGACGGTCTTTTGGGATTCAGGGGACAATTTTAGACAAGAATTAGCTGGTAAATGTCCGGGATACAAATAGAGTATGATAATGGACATATGTCCAATAATAGAAATTTACATTATTTACCAACCAGTAATTGGACACTGGCCATTTTACTGTTTGTTTTCAGAATTAAAATTAAAACGCATTAAAGTGACAAAGTTTAAACCATGAGGAACATATTTATACCACACACTGATATGTACACTTTTTAAATATATTTTTTATTGTAATTTAAACACAGCCCTGCTTTTAACAAAAAACCAAAAATCTTACCACCAAAGTAACGTGCGAACTTTTTGGTCCCATATTGGACCCAAAATAAAGTAGTTCTATATTATTACTAACTGAGATATTTATAATTGTATACAGCGTCATCTAATGATTTGACTTTAAGGTAACTATTTATAGAACTCTTGTTTTTACAGTATTAATGTTAATTGTCCAATAAAGTGTCCGATAACTGTCTACCCTATTCTACTTATACATTGGGGGAAATTGAGGTTAAAACCGTTTGACAGGTATCAGATTTTATGGTAGTTTACGAGTAACCTACTTCTTACTACTATTAATAAATTTTGTTGTTTTAAATATTTTTTTTAATAAAATTAAAAAAAATAAAGAGACATGGCCATTTTCGCTCGGATAAATTACAGATTTTCATCCTTATTTCAGCAAAATATTAAAAAAGGGGCCATTTTTACCGACTTTGAAGCGCTGTATCTTCGTTACTGTTCGTTTGATTTGTACAAAATTTTTAGGGTATACTAACAAAAATACGGTCTTTAACAGCATATTTTTTATTTATTAAAAAAAAATCACTACTTATTTTTTAAACGTTTTTTATTAGTAAATAATAGAGCTTTAAAAATATTTACTCGAAAAACACGTAAACTGAGATATAGTTAAAGTAGTTTTATACAAAATTTCATATTGATTGGTAAATGCGTTTAGAGTTAGAATTTTTACTTATTATGCGCAGTGTATGTTTCAAAACAATTTTGTTTTTATAAAGACATTAACTCATTTAAGAACAATTAAGTACAGTAAGTAGAAATAATATTAATAGTATTGTAAATAAATAGAATATAAAATATATTTTATAGTTTTTTTTTCAATTAAATTAAATAATTATAATTATAATCTCTTATACATTTCATATGTGTTAAAATTTGCCTTTTATATTTTTAAATGTACTTGATATTCTAAATTCTGTTTTTTATTCCAAGTATAAATTAAAATTTTCAAATATGGCTTGGAAATTATAAAATGTGATTTTGACATTAAAATTGGTTTTTTAACTTACCTTTCTAATCTTCACTAAAATAATTTGGAAAATACCAAATAACCTGAGAAGAGACATTTTTAAATAAAACAAACATTCTTGTTGTACAAATATATTTAAGAAAAACAATACATTTAAGCAAATAATACAATAGATAATAAATCAAATATTTTTACATATTGCAGCAGTAATACTTTATTGCTATAAATCGCTATTAAAAAATAAAATTTAAAACGTAAAAAATTTACCACACCAATGTTTTTAAAATATTAATGTGCGCAATACATTGAGTATTATATCATAATAAAAATTTATATAAACTTCTACAAAAATTAAAACATTAAATACTTCGATGTTGACTATGGAATGTATATGGGTTTAAAAATTAATCTCATAGTAAAATTATATAAAAAACATTAGCACCAAAATAATAATAAATAGCTGTCAAATAAAATAATTTTACACTGCTCTAGAATGCTAAAAAATTAAAATGTTACAATAAAAATTGTGTGCCTTTAAAAGAAACAACATAAAAATAAAAATCTATAGAGTAGGTAGTTTGCACAGCAAAATTTCATTTATGCGCGTTTTTTTTAATTTTTAACAGCCCACCATTTAATTTAATTAATTAAATACTACAGTATTAACACAGATAGAATATTACAAAATCTATAAACTAACAATTCTATGATTCTCACTATTTCATAAGTTATTTTTATGACTATTTGTTAACTTATGAATGGGGTACTTTAAAACATTTTTAACATACACTTTTTATGATTTTAATTTACTGTTATTTAGAAAAAATTATGTTGTCTGTGCTGAAAAGCTCAACATCACAATTATTATCATTTTTTTCTATACAAGGTGTGCCTGAAATGCCTGTACAAAATGAATCCACATATTCCTAAGTTCGTTTTAATTTTATTAAATAACTTTGGTAAAAACAAAATTTGGTTTTTGGGTTTATTTCCAGAAATCCCCCAAATATCAAATTTTGTGCAAAAAGTTTTTTTTTTCAAAGTTATTTCATAAAATCGAAAACTTTTTTCACAGGAATATGTTGAATTATTTTATACAGGCATTTCAGAGACAAATAAAAGTTATAAAAACATACACTGGGCGTCAAAATTAACGCATAACAAGTACAAAAATCCAACTCTAAAACGCCTTTACCAATCTTTATAAAATTTTGGATGAAAATACTTTAACTTAATAATAATAATATATAATAATAAAAAATGCTCAAAAATAAAAATATGCTGTAAAATAGCGTATTTTTCTTAGTATACCCTGAAAATTTTGTAGAAATCAAACGAACAGTAACGAAAATACAGCGCTTCAAAGTCGTCAAAAATAATCAAAATTTTTTTACCGACTTTGAAGCGCTGTATCTTCGTTAGTGTTTGTTTGATTTGTACAAAATTTTCAGGGTATACTAACAAAAATACGGTCTTTAACAGCAAATTTTTTAGTTAATAAAAAAATCCCTAAAAGTTATTTTTCGAACGTTTTTTATTATTAAATAAATAAGTTGAAGTATTTTTATCACAATTTCATAAAGGCGTTTTTTTATTTATTATGCGTTAATTTTGAGGCGCAGTGTCTTTATAAAAACAATTTTGTTTTTATAAAGACATTAACCCATTTAAGAACAATTAAGTACAGTAAGTAGAAATAATATTAAAAGTATTGTAAATAAATAGAATATAAAATATTTTTTATAGTTTTTTTTTTCAATTAAATTAAATAATTATAATTATAATCTCTGATACATTTCATATGTGTTTGTACCCTGCACTTCGCGAAGAATTTTATATTTTAATAAATTTCCAATTATATTTACATTAATATTCACAAAATATAGCAATTATAGGCAATTTTAAGTTAAATTAAGAGAGCCAATGGTGCAGAAAAGTAACCATGCAATTTTATACTTAAATCTAAGCGGAGCTGGGAAAGTTACTTCTGAAAAGTATCTACACTCACAGGCAAAATAATCGATCCACAAAAATTTTCGATGAATTTCAATCGCAAATAACTTTTTTACTTGATGTCGGATTTAAACAAATATTAAAGAATATTGTAGATAAATTAATGGACATTCGCTCACATTTTAAAAAATTACTAAAAAATAGACGTACGTTTATAATATACAGGATTAAACAAAAATATGTTTTTTACTATAAGTTTAAGACCCTCTGTAGAGTGGCAAAACCGTATATTGTTCTAAATTAAGTTTTATTTATCAAGTCACATCTATTCTTAACAGTTTTGTTTTTGGTTCACCTCGATATATTTATTTTTGTGGAAAATATGGATTAAAAAAAAAAACATTGCAATTTCCAATATTTTTCTGTATGAAGAACTAAGGTTGCTATGGTCCATCCATAGACTATGGAGAATAACAGTGACAGTTTTGTTGAATCATCACATACTTGGACATGTCATACACGGCTTTCAAAAGCTATCAAATTGTTTTTTGCAAATTAATGTTTAAATTTTGAGCTGTCTTCTTACTTTCAAAAATTGATATGTCTCCGACTGATGTTGCCAGAGCCATTAATTTAATCCAGGATGGACGGTCACAGTATTACGTGGCAAGTGTTTTAAACGTCACAAGAAGTAAAGTACAAAGGGCAACATCAGTCGGAGACATTTTTAAAAGTAAGAAGACACCTCAAAATTAACACATTAATTTACAAAAAAATAATTTGATAGCTTTTGAAAGCTGTAGATGACATGCCCAAGTATGGGATGATTCAACAAAACTGTCACTGTCATCCTCCATAGGCTATGGATGGACCATAGCAACCTTAGTTCTTCATACAGGAAAAATATTGGAAATTGCAATGTTTTTTTTTAAATCCATATTTTCCACAAAAATAAATATATCGAGGTGAACCAAAAACAAAACTGTTAAAAATAGATGTGACTTAATAATTAAAACTTAATTTATAACAATATACGGTTTTGCCACTCTACAGAGTGTCTTAAACTTATGTTAAAAACATCTTTTTGTTTAAACCTGTATATTATAAACGTACGTGTATTTTTTAGTAATTTTTAAAATGTGAGCGATTCTTCATTAATGTATCTGCAATATTCCTTAATATTTGTTTAAATCCGAAATCAAATTAAAAAGTTATTTGCGATTGAAATTTATCGAAAATTTGTGTGGATCGATTATTTTGCACGTGATACTTTTAAGTAACTAAGATACTTTTGAGTAACTAAGTTACTTTTAAGTTTGAATAAAAACTATAAAATTATAAACATAGGTTAGATAATTACTTCTTAGTTACTTTACCCAGTAACTTAGATACTTTTTAAGCTACAAGTTACAAGATACTTTTCCAAAGTAACTAAGTTAAGTATCTAAGTTACTTTTAAGTATCTTTTTTTTTCAAGATACTTCCAGCTCTGCATCTAAGTTTAGTACAGATTTCATATTTTCCAATATTCGTGTTTGGGGGGAGTTTTATTAAATAAATATTTAATAAAACAAGGGCGATTAGTCCTAATCGTGGGGCAAAGAAAATGTCAAATTATGAAAAATTTACTCACGTTTTCATTTCATTTAATTTCTTTCACTGTTACAGTCTTTTTTGCGAACTGTTCATCGTTTTCAGCACTCTGCACTTAAAAATCTATCCTTAGACTCGGCAGTTCTGACGTCAGAGGGCGTCTTCGTCGTTTTGGAGGTGGAGGTGGAGGGAGGGGTCGTCGAGGCGGATTTTGTCTTCTTCGTTCGTCCCAGTGCTGTCTATCGAGGAGGAACGTTGCTCGGGTTGCCTACCTCCGCCTATCCATCTTTGCTTGAAAGATTCCAGCCTCATGACCTAAGGGGTGACCGAAAATGAGCTTAGGCAACTTTTTTTTCTGATTCTAAACGCCAAAATACCCTTTAGTACCTGAAGGTGTTTAAAATTTCCCAGGTAGGAAAATTTCCCCAAGGTTGGTGGGTGTTTTTATACAAATATACTACATTAAGGATATTTAATTAGTCTATAATTAAAAAAATCCCTGACTTTTCCATGACATTTTAAAATGTGTTTTTGACATTTTCATTTGTATTTTACCATGAAATTTGTTTGACTGCAAATTATATTTTTAAAAATTTTATTTTAACCGTCTCAAATATGATTTTGTTATTTTAAAAAATGCTTTATTTTTTTTTAAATAAGTTCGACGTTCTTAAATAGGTTGTTTTTTACATTTTAAAATGTGGTTTTGACATTAAAATTTGTTTTTTTACATTATAAATGTTTTTAATATTTTAGGCTTTGTTTTTTTCATTAATAATGAAAATTAACACTCTTAAACATAGTTTTTGACATTTTAAGTATTCTTTAAATTTTTTAAATCAGATTGACATTTGTTTTTTACATTTTAAAATGTCTTATATTTCCAAAATGGCTTTTAAATATTCTAAAATGTGGTTTTGACATTACAATTTTTTTTTACTTTCCTAAATGTTTTTGATATTCTAAAATAATTTCATTTCTAATTAGGATTAATATTCTCAAATATAGGTTTGACATTCTAAAATGTGTTTTTGACACTTCTAAATGTTTTTTAAATAAGCATTGTTCTTTACATTCTAAACTCTGTTTTTCATTCTAAGTATAAATTAAAATTCTAAAATGTTTTTAATATTTTAGGCTTTGTTTTTTTTATTATTAATGAAAATTAACATTATCAAATATAGTTTTTGAGGAATCTTTAAATTTTTTAAATAAGATTGACATTAATATTTGTTTATTACATTTTAAAATGTACTTCTAAATTCTGTTTTTTATTCTTAGTTAAAATTAAAATTCTCAAATATGGCTTTAACATTCTAAAATGTACTTAAAATTTTCAAATATGGGTTTACAATTTCATTCCATTCTAAAATGTGATTTTGACATTAAATTTTTTTTGTGCATCCTAGAATGTGTTCGATATTCTAAGCTTTATTGTTTATTCTTAATAAAGATTAACATTCTCATATATAGTTTTGACATTTCTTAATATTTTTTGAGTTTTTTAAATAAATTTGTTTTTTACATTCTAACATAAATTTTAAATTCTAAAATCTGGCTTTTATTCTTAATTTGGCTTTAACATTCTAAAATGTGGTTTTGGCATTAAAATTTGTTTTTTTACATTCTAAAATGTGTTTGATATTCTAAAATGTGTTTTTGACATTTTTAAATATTTGTTGAATTTTTAAATTAGATTGATATTAAAATTTGTTTTTTGCACTCTAAAATGAATAATTTTGTTTTTTTAAATGAGATTTACATTAAAATTTGTTTTTTACATTCTAAAATGTACTTATTATATTGTTATACATATTATTCCAAACTTTGTTTTTCATTTTAAGTAGAAATTAAAATTCTCAAATAATGCTTTAAAATTCTAAAATGAGTTTTAAATATTCTAAAATGTGTTTTTTATATTAAAATTTGTTTTTTGACATTATAAAATCTTTTTTCATATTTTTAGCTGTTTTTTTTATTCTTAATGAAGATTAACATTCTCAAATATAGTTTTGACCTTCTAAAATGTGTTTTTGGCATAAAACTTTGTTTTTTGCATTTTAAAATGTACTTGATATTCTAAATTCTGTTTTTTTTTATTTTTGCTAAAAATTAATATTCTCAAATATGGCTTTAACATTCTCAAATTGATTTTAAACATTCTTAAATATGGTTTTCACATTAAAATTTGTTTTTTACATTTTAAAATGTACTTGATATTCTAAATTCTGTTTTTCATTTTTGGTAAAAATTTAAATTCTTAAATACGGCTTTAACATACTAAAATGGGTTTTAGACATTCTAAAATGTGGTTTTGACATTAAAATTTATTTTTACATTCTAAAATGTGTTTGATATTCTAAGCTTTGTTAATAAAGATTAACATTCTCAAATATAGTTTTGACATTCTAAAAATGTGTTTTTGTCATTTTAAAACATGCTTTAAATTTTATAAATAAGATCGACATTAAAATTGTTTTTTACATTCAAAATTCTGTTTTTTCATTCTCAATAAAGTTTAACATGACTTTAAAATTTCAAAATAGGTTTTAATCATTCTAAAAGGTGGTTTTTACATTAAAATTTGTTTTTTAAATGAGTTTGTATCTCAAACTCTGTTTCTTTTATAACCATTTTAAATTTACATTCTTAAACATAGTTTTAACATTCTAAATTTTTAAATAAGATTTTTTCTATCTTTTTTTCAAATATACATTATGAAATTTATTTTTGGCGTTATAAAAAATGTTAAACATTGTTAAATATGGTTTTCACATTCTAAATTGCATTTTGACGTTCATAAGTAAGTTACACATTTATATATATTTAAAGGGATATAAGAAATTTAAAAAACAACCTCCACAGTTTAAAAAAGTTACTTTTTGGCAAAATATGTTCTTCTAATAATTTTTTTTAGTTCGTTTTTTGGTGTTAAAACATGCTATAAAAAATATATTTTGATATTCATGCATTTAAGTAAAACTTAACCAAAACCGAAAATATTAAAACTCAACCACAAACATGCAGAAATACATTTTGTACTAAAGTGTCCAACTTTGTCATGCTTTAGATAAAGATAAAATATGTTTTTTTATCTCATCAACCATCGAGACAAGCACTAAATACTGCAAGACAAACTTTTATAGTTTATAGTAAGTAATTTTACCACTTACTCGAGCCACTTCCAGGGCTCAGTTTCCGGACTTGTGATTGGCGTGGGAAACTAAATAAATTGTTATTAGAAAATGTCAATTTTCGTGTTACAAATATTGATTGAGTCAAAAAATACTTTTACCAGATTTCAATAAAAATTAAAAACTTTTTTCCGAAACAAAAGCTCGTGCGTTTCGTTATTTTGCGACAGCGTTGGTTAGTGTGGTTTGTGTACAATAAAGCTTGAAAAATAGTTTAAAAAGCTACATTTGCAAATACTTACTTCGGCTTTGAGGTCCGCTACTTTATCCTGAAGCTCTCTAACTCTATCACTATCATCTACTGAATGAATTCTAAGTTCGCCCTCTGTCGCAATTTCTTGACTCTATAAATGAAGAAATAAAAAATCTAGCCTCTATGCTAAAAAATGTGTAGTAAGTTCCATAAGACAAGACTTTGGCATTGGCTCTTAGGTAAGTTTGTCATTTTTGAGGTTGTACTTCTTTTAGCGCGTTGGGAGTTATATTGCAGCATGCAACGGAAGTGACGTCACGGAAAATCGATATGAGAGAGAGATGTCGCGCAAACGGAGAAGGAAATTTGTTTCAGTGCACAAGTAGGAGAGAAAGATATAAATTAATCGAATAAGGCGGATTGCCTATTTTTTCAAAACATGGGTATTATTTTTGGTCTAAAAAGAGTAAAAAAAGATAAGGGGTTTGAAAATTTTGCAAAATTTAAAAAATAATTTAAATTTTTAAAATTTAAAAAATGTTTAATATTTTTGATACCTTCAATATTTGATATTTCATTGAAAGTTTAAAATTTCCTAAATTTGAAATATTCAATAATTTCAAAATATCAATATTTCCAATACTTTTAAAATGTCTTTAATATTTTTAAAATTTAAATTTTTCAAAATGTTTAATGGGGTTTGACGAGTAAAAAAAAGATAAGGGGTGTAAACATTTTCCGAAATTTTTAAAATCTCCAACATTTCCGTTTTATACAAATTTCAAAATTTTAAAAATTTCGGTTTTTCTAAAACTGTTAAAAATTTTAATTTGTTTAAAATTTTTAATGGCCATCTTAGATTGGCCGCATTACTATTTTTTACAACCCCCTTGACGAGTAGAAAAAATAAGGTGAGTGAAAATTTTCCAAAATTTTAAAAATATAAATTAGACTGGGCCAAAAAAATCGTCTATTTTTTTTGGAAAGTATATCGAAAATATTGTTTGGGGTGGCAAAAAAAAGTTATGGTGAAAGTTTGAGTCCATAATATTAATATTAAGAGGTCTATCATCGCAATTTTTTTTTCCTGAGCGAGTTTTTGTCTCAGAACTCCCAAATCATTGAGTTTAACAAAATTGACTTAAGAATATTTTTTTAAGAAAATTGAATGCTCTACAAAAAAGGTTGGATTGGAATTTCCCGTCAGATGAACAGTTTTCTTACAATCATGCCTTAAAAATTGGTATAGTTTTACAATTTGATCTTTTAACTTTGGAATTTTGTAATTCAAGTAAAAATCAGAACAGTTTTAAAGCATTTGATTTCCCATAAGAATATTTATCGGTTTTTTATGGGTACTGATTTTTACATGAATTACAAAATTCCAATTTAAAAGATCAAAATGTAAAACTATACCAATTTTTAAGGCATGATTTTAAGGAAACGGTTCATCTGACGGAAAATTTTATTTTAACCTTTTTTGTAGAGCATTTGATTTTCTTAAGAAAATATTTTCAAGTCAATGTTGTTAAACTCAATGGTTTGGGAGTTCTGAGCCTAAAACCTGCTGAGGAAAAAAAAATTAAAATTGCGATGATGGACCTCTTAATATTAATATTATGGACTCACTTTCACCATAATTTTTTTTTGTCACGCCAAACCATATTTTTGATATACTTCTCAAAAAAAATAGTTGATTTTTTTGGCCCAGTATAATATAAATATATTAAATTTAATATATATTTTCCAAATCTTAAAAATTTTTAAAATGTTTGAAATTTCGAAAATTTCGAAAATTTTCAATATTTCCAAGTTTAAAAAAGGGTTTGACGAGTAGAAAAAACTGAGGGGAGTGGAAATTTTCCAAAATTTTAATATTTACAAAATTTCAAAAATTTCAAAAAATTTCAATAGAAAAGTTTTAATATGAAATTTTTCAAAATGTTTAAAAAATATGACGGTAGTTCTAAGATCCGTCATTAGGTAAGATAAGGGGAGTGAAAATTTCAAATTTCCAAAATCTCCAAAATTTTTGAAATTTCTTATATTTTAAAAAATTCCCAAATTTTCAATATTTTCAAGTTTTAGAAAAAAGTGAAAATTTTCCAAAATTTTAAAAATATTTTCAAAATATCAAGAATTTCAAAAAATTTCAATAGAAAAGTTTCAATATGAAAAATTTCAAAATGTTTAAAGAATATGACGGTAGGTCCAAGATCCGTCATTAGGTAAGATAAGGAGAGTGAAAATTTTAAAATTTTCAAAATCTCCAAAATTAACTAAATTCTTGAAATTTAAAAGTTAAAAAGGGTTTGACGAGTAGAAAAAATAAGGAATGAAAATTTTAAAATTTTCAAAATCTCCCAAATTTTTGAAATTTCCTATATTTTAAAACTTTCCTAAATTTCCAAAATTTCCAAAAAAAAGTGAAAATTTTCCAAAATTTTAAAAATATTTCATATTTTCAAAATTTCAAGAATTTCAAAAAATTTCCTATAGATATTTTAAAAATTTCCCAAATTTGCAAAATTTTCAATGTTTCAAATTTGCGAAATTTTCAAATTTCCAAATTAAAAAAAAGTAGGAGAGTGAAAATTTTAAAATATCCAAAATCGCCAAAATTTTTAAAATTTTTGAAATTTCCTGTATTTTAAAAATTTCCCAAATTTCTAAAATTTTCAATATTTTCAAGGATATTTGTAAAATTTACAATATTTCAAATTTCCAAATTAAAAAAAAAGTATAAAATTTTAAAAATGTTTAATATTTTCAAAATTCCAAGAATTTCAATAAATTTCCTATATTTTCAAAATTTACCAAATTTGCAAAATTTTCAATATTTCCAAGTTAAAAAAAAGTGAAAATTTTCCAAAATTTTAAAAATATTTAATATTTTCAAAATTTACAATATTTCAAATTTCCAAATTAAAAAAAAAAGTATAACTTCCGTACTGTACTAAATCTTATTAAATCCAAAAAAAAGTCTCATGGAATTTGTATGTAAAAATATCTATAATAATCATATATTTTCTTCAAGAAAATCCTCCAAAACGTGCCTACAAAAGCATCTCTCTCACCTTCAACTCCAGCTGGCTGATTTTCTGCGTCAGCTCCGCCATGGCCTGCGTTTTTTCCGCGTCGCTGATCCTGGCGCGCATCAGCTCGTCCTGCATCTTGCTCCCCAGATCCGAGTACCGCCTCTGCTCTTCCAAGAGCCGCGCGGCCGCCTCCCTGTCCCTCAGTTCCGCCGACTCCAGCGACTCGCGCTGCTTTTTGATCTCCTCGTCCTGCCTGCGCAGCTGGTTCGTGCTCACCTGCACCTGAGTTTCCAGCTCCATAACCTAGACAAGTAGAATAGAAGAGTTTTACTCTTCAAGAGTACCTACCATTTTTGATAGAATAAATATAAAAAAAATCTTCCAATAGCTTGGGTATAACCATTTTTAACAGGCTTACAAAGAAGATTTAAATTTAAAAACTGTAGCAACATTTTTAAAGTCGTTTTTGTTATTTAATTATTTTTATAGCATAAATAAGTTTTTCGGTATTTATTTAATTAATTATCAGTTATATACTCGTATATTTTATTTCTTGTGTGTATTTGTTATTTTACGTTTAGGTATCATTTTATAAATCATGTGTCAAAAAAATGATAGATATGTTAGCTTACTGAATTATAATAATAGGAACAATTATTATAATAATAATAATAATTCACTTTTTTCTTGATATCAGTGTACAGATATTTGGAAATAAAAAAAAATTGACATTATAATTTTTTTTGCAATATCAAAATTTTGTAGTAGTAAAAATAAACATAAATCTCAATAATTTTAAGAAAAAAAAACACCTAAATTTGAGAAAAATTGTAGAAAACAGGGCTCCCACGGTTAAATTACAAATTTTATTTAGGAATTTAGGAGGTTTTTTGGAGAATTTTAGGAGAAAAAAGTATGCAAATGAATTTATTTAATTAAATAAAAACAACTCTACACTATACTTAAAAAGTAAGAAAAAAATAAGTAATTCTTTTTAACAAAAATATAAATAAATATCACTTCTTTTGTACGAATAGGTTATATTGACTAGTTTTTTAGCCAAATCGCTCGACGAGTTTTTTTTAATAAAATGAAAAGTGAGGTAAAATTACTACTTTTGTATATATCTACAAGTAGAAATTTCACCACACTTTTAATTTTATTTAAAAAAAAAAGCGTCGATAGATATGGCTAAAAAAGTAGGCCAAAGTTTAATGATATTTTGAAAAAAAAATTAACAGTTTAGTTCATAACTAACAATAATTGTAATGTTATTGTTACTAAAAAATCTCATAATAGAAAAAATATAAAGTGCATGTACAGCAAAACATTCTTTAGATTGTTTACTATTTTAGCTATCTAGAAAATTAAAAATCCTTTTGTTTGATATATAATACGGTATATTTATATATGTACAGCAAAACATTCTTTAGATTGTTTACTATTTTAGCTATCTAGAAAATTAAAAATCCTTTTGTTTGATATATAATACGGTATATTTTTGTCGAAAATTAACAAAATATGGCTAAAAATGACAATTTTGTAAAAGTCTAGAAGCTACTACATGGATTTTGTTTTATGGTATATTTTGTTGTTTTTTAAGAAAAATGTAGGTTGTGATACCTATTAGACTGGGCCAAAAAAATGACTTTTTTTTTTTTTTTGAAAAATATATCGAAAATGTCATTCAGAATGACAAATAAAAAATTTCGTGAAAATTTGAGCCCTTAATATTAATTTTAAGAGGTCTATCATCGCTATTTTTGATTTTTAGTCATAATTTGATGTTTTGCGTTAGAACTGTCAAAACATTAAAGTGAAAAAAATTTCTTTTCACTTATTTTTATATAAAATTAAATTCTCTACAAAAAAGGTCTGATAGAAAATTTTCGTCAGACGAGCCGTTTCCGAGTAATTGAGCTCAATAAATCGATGTGTTTTTTCGATTTGCCCTTTTTACTTTACTAAATTTTGTAACTAATGAATCAATGAATATTAAAAAAGCTCACGTCGGATTCTTAAAGGAAATTTAATGTTCTACAAAAAAGGTCTCTTAACATTTTTGCCTAAATTTAATTCTTCAAAAGTTATTCACGATTAAAATCGAAGAAAAACTTAAAATTTCAATTTTTTCTTCGTGAATAACTTTTGTAGAATTAAATTTAGGCAAATATGTTAAGAGACCTTTTTTGTAGAACACTAAATTTCCTTTAAGAATCCGACGTGAGCTTTTTAAAATATTCATTGATTCATTAGTTACAAAATTTCAAAGTAAAAAGGGCAAATCGAAGAAACACATCGATTTATTAGGCTCAATTACTCGGAAACGGCTCGTCTGACGAAAATTTTCAATCAGACCTTTTTTGTAGAGAATTTAATTTTATATAAAAATAAGTGAAAAGGAATTTTTATCACTTTAATGTTTTGACAGTTCTAACGTAAAACATCAAATTATGACTAAAAATCAAAAATAGCGATGATAGACCTCTTAAAATTAATATTAAGGGCTCAAATTTTCACGAAATTTTTCATTTGTCATTCTGAACGACATTCTCGATATATTTTTCAAAAAAAAAAATAGTCCATTTTTTTGGCCCAGTCTAATACCTATATCATTTTAAAAAGAATTTAATAAACTAAAACCCAAAAATATATATTTTTTAAATTACTTTTTTAAAAAGAAATTTTTTAGCACAACTACCTAATTAAACGCAATCAAGTTGGCGTACTTATTTATTTTTAGGAGTTTTTAAGGAGATTGATGGCAATTTTAGGAGAATTTTAGGAGTTTTTAAGATTTAAGCCAAATTTTAGCAATTTTATGAATTTTAGGAGGTGTGGGAGCCCTAAGAAAATCAATCAAAATAAATTAAAATTTGACAAAAATACAAAAACTTCAAAAAAGTGTATAATTGTTTTTAGTTTATTTTTCTCATCTATAACATTTTGCAAAATAATTGTAATTATTAGGTCAAAAAAATCCACAAAAATTATAAAAAATTTAAAAGTCAAACAAAAAATCAAATTTTTGTAGTTTCTAAAAATACCCTAAACCTGAATAATTAAAAAAAAACACGTAAATTTGAGAAATATTGTAGAAAATCAATAAAAATAAATTAAAATTTGACAAAAATACAAAAACTGCAAAAATGTGTATAATTTTTTTAGTTTATTTTTTACCTCTGTTAAAGTATTTGCAAACATTTTGCAAAATTTGTGTTAGGTTAAAAAAAAACAAAAAATTATAAAAAAATAAAAAGACAAACAAAAAATCAAAATTTTGTAGTTTCTAAGAACACACCTAAACCTGAATAATTTTAAGAAAAAAAAACTAAAAATGGGTCAGAATTTCTCAAACGGGCCACCTGAATTTGGTCAAAATTAGTTTTTGATTGTAGATACATTTTTTCGATAGTATTTTACATCACTAACACAAATCCTAAAGGATTTTGTAAAAAAAAAATTTTCAATTGACATATTCATGATATTAAAAGTAAAAGTTTTTAGTAATTAAAAAATAAAAAAAAATCATTATGGCTAAACTAATTATCCGATTCCAACGATTTAACTAGCGTTGGAATCTTGTTTTGACATAGATTCTTTGTTATTTTTTTCAATTGTACAATTTTCATTTAGGTCGATTTTTTTTTGTTTTTTTTATAACAAATTCGGAAATAATTGGCTTCTGCGCCAGCTATCGACTCGAAAAAAAAAACACATATACTCCAATCATTTCTCGAAATTATGCTGCTGAGAAAAAAAATGGCCCGCAGGTTCCAGACCACCGTAAGACGTCGCGTCACAAGCGCGTACAGCGTACACGGTTCGGAGCGTGAGCTGACACCGCGCGCGGCCACAAAAGGACGAATAACTTTTTGTCAACCTGCGGGCCATTTTTTTTCTCAGCAGCATAATTTCGAGAAATGATTGGAGTATATGTGTTTTTTTTCTCGAGTCGATAGCTGGCGCAGAAGGCAATTATTTCCGAATTTGGTATAAAAAAAACAAAAAAAAATCGACCTAAATGAAAATAGGACAATTGAAAAAAATAACAAAGAATCTATATCAAAACAAGATTCCAACGCTAGTTATATCGTTGGAATCGGATAATTAGTTCAGCCATAATGAATTTTTTTATTTTTTAATTATTAAAAACTTTGACTTTTAATATCATGAATATGTCAATTGAAAATTTTTTTTTTACAAAATCCTTTAGGATTTGTGTTAGTGATGTAAAATACTATCGAAAAAATGTATCTACAATCAAAAACTAATTTTGACCAAATTCAGGTGGCCCGTTTGAGAAATTCTGACCCAAATACAAAAACTGCAAAAAAAATATTGTTAATTGTTAATATTAATAACTGATTTTGTTAACTCACCTTAAGTCTAAGCTCTTTAACTTCAGTCAATGTCTCCATTTCCCTAATTCTAGTTGTCATAAGTTCCTCCTCCAACTTCTGAGTCTCATTGTGTCTATTCTCCCAGAACAGCAGCTTTTTGGGAGTACTTAAAGCGTCGTTGGAAGAATTCGGCTCCTGTTTTTGATCCTAAAAAGAGTCAACGCAAATTACACGTCATTTACAATCGAGAAAAGAATAAATCCACAAGTGTACCTTTCTTACCTGCAGATGCCGCTGCCACTGCTGACTCAGCTCCGAGACCCGCTGCCTTAGATCCTTCAGCGACAGGTTAGCTTCAGCTTCGCGCAGCTTCACGGCGATGAGCTCCTCTTGCAGGTGCGCCACGCTGTTGTCAGGGGTGATTTCCCGCAGGGTCTTCTTGTCCTCTTCCAGCTCGTGGATCCTCGATCTGAGATCGCGGATGAGCGCGTCGTTTTCCGCTTCGCGCAGCCGCACCTTAACCAGCTCGTCCTGCAGGCACTCGATCATCTCCTCGCGCTGCTGCAGCTGCTCCTGCTTCAGCGTGATTTCCTCCATCGAGGACTGTCGCGACGTGTGCTGAAGGTAGCACGTTAATGAGACGAAAATATTTATCGTTATTTTGATAATGATTTCTTAATGATAAAATGTTTTTAACTTTTTAAAATTTATATAAAAAAGTACTAGGTAATTTACAAAAAAATAAAAAACTATACCTATAGTCCAATCTCAAATCAAAGAAAAATGTTTAAAATATCAATTTAATGAAGAAAAAAATATCAAAATGTCCTAGAAATCACCAAAAACATTTTTAATTAGATATAATTTGCACACTACTAAAAATTTCTAAAAATTCAATCGCCTCCCAAATAGATTAAAAAGCTGTGATAGGGTTGAAATATTTAGAAAAAATAAACAAAACTTTGTATTGTGATATTTTGACTATGTTATTTGTTTATATATAATATTTGTATATTTCGTAAAATAGCTTATGCTATGACTATTTATTTATTTAATAATTGTTAAAAAGTTATAGACCCACCAAGTCTCATTTTTATGATTTTTTAATTATTTATTGATCAAATTTGTAAAAATCAATTGTGTAGAAAATTAAATAGGTACCTACTATAATACATAGTTGCTACTTAACTTTTTGACCTATCATTAATAGTTTAGTTAAACATCAAAAAAGCGTAATTTTTAAAAATGTAGTCCTTTAGTAAGTAAAATATAAACGATAGAAACTTTGTAGACAATTTAATGCTCTTTAAGGATCATCAGTCAATTATATGAAAAAATTTACTACATAGAATGCAGGAAAAAAAAGAAAAAAATTTTTTTTTGTGTTATTCCCATGGGAAAATTTAAAACTCGATGATGAAATATTAATAAAATTAATTGCTATAAACTTCCTTCCGTTTCCTCCATCAAATACAAAAATGTAACAAAAAGTTAATGAACCAATTTTGGAACATTTTTAGAAATAGTAAAAATGGAATTAATATGAAAAATTAACACTAAAACCCATCTGCTATAATAATATTGCAAAATAAAAATAAAAAATCTCCTGGTAATAATAATGATATTAATTGTTATAAACTTTCTTACCGTTGCCTCCATCAAATAAAAATAATGCAACAAAAAGTCAATGAACCAATTTTGGAAATTTTTTTAAAATAATAAAAATGGAATAAATATAAAAACTTAACACCAATATAAAATTGCTATTGAACTTTTTGGCCTATCATCATTAGTTTAGTTTAAAAAACTAAAAAACGCGAATTTTTTAGAAATGTCCTTAAGTAAGTAAAATATAAACTATAGAAACTTGACTCCAAGATTTTTTTGTAGAAAATTGAATGCTTTTTAAAGATCATCAGTCAAATATGAAAAAATTTACTACATAGAATGCAGGAAAAAAAAAAAGAAAATTTTTTTTTTGTGTTATTCCCATGGGAAAATTTAAAACTCGATGATGAAATATTAATAAAATTAATTGCTATAAACTTCCTTACCGTTTCATCCATCAAATAAAAAAAAATTTAACAAAAAGTTAATAAACCAATTTTGGAACATTTTTAGAAATAATAAAAATGGAATTAATATGAAAAATTAACCCTAAAACCCATCTGCTATAATATTGCAAAATAAAAATAAAAAATCTTCTGGTAATAATAATGATATTAATTGTTTTAAACTTTCTTACGGTTACCTCCATCAAATAAAAATAATGCAACAAAAAGTCAATGAACCAATTTTGGAAATTTTTTGAAAATAATAAAAATGGAATAAATATAAAATATTAACACCAATATAAAGTTCCTATTTAACTTTTTGGCCTATCATTACTGGTTTAGTTTAAAAATCTAAAAAACGCGAATTTTTAGAAATGTCCTTCAGTAACTAAAATATAAACGATGGAAACTTGACTCCATGAATTTGTAGAAAATTGAATGCTCTTTAAGGATCATCACTCAAATATATGAAAAATCTGGCTACATAGAATGAAGGAAAAAAAAATATATATTTTCTTGTGTTATTTCTATGGGAAATTTTAAAACTTGATGATGATATATTAATAAAATTAATTGCTATAAACTTCCTTACCGTTTCCTCCATCAAATAAAACAAATGCAACAAAAAGTTAATGAACCAATTTTGGAAGATTTTGGAATTGGAATTAATATGAAAATTAGCACTAATATGATATAATAATATTGCAAAAAATAAAAATCTCCTGGTAATAATAATGATAATAATTTTTTTAAACTTTCTTACCGTTGCCTCCATCAAATAAAAATAATGCAACAAAAAGTCAATTTTGGAAATTTTTTGAAAATAATAAAAATGGAATAAATATAAAAAAATTAGTACCATTATAAAGTTGCTATTTAACTTTTTGGTCTACCATCATTAGTTTAGTTTAAAAATCTAAAAAACGCGTAATTTTTTAGAAATGTCCTTAAGTAAGTAAAATATAAACTTTAAGGATCTTCAGTCAATTTTATGAAAAAACTCGCTACATAGAATGCAGGAAAAAAAGTTAATGAACCAATTTTGGAACATAAAAATAAAAAAGTCTGGTTATAATAACAATAATAATAATGGTAATAGACTTTCTTACCGTTTCCTCCATCATGAGCGACAGCGAGCGTATCTTCTCGTTGGCGAGCGCAAGCTGGTGCGTCGTCTCCAGGTGGGTGTGCCGCAAGGCGTCCAGCTCCCTCTGCACCACGAACGTGGTCTCCTCCTCCTCGGCACGGCTCACTTGACCGCGCACCAGGCGATCAGCGAGCGCCTTGCTCTCCTCCTCGAGCATCTCGCATCTGTGCCTCAGCTGCTTGTTCTCCGTCCTCAGTCTCTGAGAGAACCAACAGTCTACGTCAGTCGAATGAACAAAATCTCGAACAACGTTATTTTACGACATTGAAAATAACGTAAAGGCACTTTGAGGTTAGGTTTGTTTTGGCGTGGGAAGAGTAAACGCGATATTGATTATTTGGAGGAAGGGAAAGTGAAACGTCCACTAGGTGGCAGGAATACGAAATTTTACCGCAAAAATACGATTTTCTCTATACAGTCAGAACAATTTGTAATAAAAACCATTATGCATAATTGTTTCTATATACAGGGTGAACCACGTATTTTTGAGTATCTTTTTTATTTGAAGAGCTACAAGTTCGGTTAAATTAGAGAAAAGTTGCGTAACTATTAAAATGGCATTTAAAAATTGCAATTTGAAATAAACTGAAAACCTCTTAAAACCAAAAATCGTTAGAACTTCGTTATTCCTGGTAATAAAAAAAGTAAGTTTCACATGTAAATATTAACATTTATTTAAAATTGTTTCCAATTTGAAAAAAAACTGAAAATCTCTCAAAACCAAAAATTCTTCAATCTTCGTTATTCCTGGTTATTTTGAAAAGAAGTAAGTTTTACATGTAAAAATTAACATTTATTTAAATTTGTTTCCAATTTGAAAAGAACTCTTAAAACCAAAAATCGTTAGAACTTCGTTATTCCTTTCACATATAAATATTATAATTTACTTAAATTTGTTTTGAATTTGAAAAAAAAACTGAAAACCTCTTAAAAACAAAAATCGTTATTCCCATGTTTCACATGTAAATATTAAAATTTATTTAAATTTGTTTCCAATTTGAAAAATACTCTTAAAACCAAAAATCGTTAGAACTTTGTTATTCCTAGTAATTTTGAAAAGATGTAAGTTTCACATGTATGTAAATATTAACATTTATTTAATTTTGTTTCCAATTTGAAAAAAACTCTTAAAACCAAAAATCGTTAGAACTTCGTTATTCCTGGTAATTTTGAAAAGAAGTAAGTTTCACATGTAAATATTTTAATTTATTTAAATTTGTTTCCAATTTAAAAAACTGAAAACCTCTCAAAACCAAAAATCGTTAGAACTTTGTTATTTCTGGTAATTTTGAAAAGAAGTAAGTTTCACATGAAAATATTATAATTTACTTAAATTTGTTTCCAATTTGAAATTAACATTTATTTAAATTTGTTTCCAATTTGAAAAGAACTCTTAAAACCAAAAATCGTTAGAACTTTGTTATTCCTAGTAATTTTGAAAAGATGTAAGTTTCACATGTATGTAAATATTAACATTTATTTAATTTTGTTTCCAATTTGAAAAAAACTCTTAAAACCAAAAATCGTTAGAACTTCGTTATTCCTGGTAATTTTGAAAAGAAGTAAGTTTCACATGTAAATATTTTAATTTATTTAAATTTGTTTCCAATTTAAAAAACTAAAAACCTCTTAAAACCAAAAATCGTTAGAACTTCGTTATTCCTGGTAATTTTGAAAAGAACTAAGTTTCACATGAAAATATTAACATTTATTTAAATTTGTTTCCAATTTGAAAACAACTCTTAAAACCAAAAATATTTAGAACTTTGTTATTCCTGGTAATTTTGAAATGAAGTTTTACATGTAAAAATTAACATGATGTGAACATAATTTTAATTATGTGAATTAAAACTAGTAGAATATTTTCTGAAAATAATATAAAATACGTATTTTTGTACAAAGTTCTTAGTTTATGTCACAAAAACATACAGATGTATATAATTTTCAGTAAATAATACAAAATAATTTTTAAAAAATTACTTACAATTCGTTTTTATTTAATAGTTTGTAAAAAAAAAACCTCGTGAAAATTTTATTTTGTGTGCAAAATCTCAGCTTTTTGAAAAAAATAAAATTTTAAATAAAAATAACACCAGGCTAAAAAAATCCACTTTAATTGAAAAGCTAAGATTTTTTTTTATAAAAAAACAGTAATTTTAATAAAGCATTATTTACACAAAAAAATAACGAAAAAGTTGAAAAAAATATCGTCAAAATTTAAAAAAAACATTATTGGGAAAAATTCGTGTAGGCCACTCCAGAAATATAATTATTTGATGGAATGACCCTATTATATTATATAATATGCAGTAAAATAGTTATTTAAACTATTATTTAATTTATATATGTATTTACCTTAAGTTCTGTCATTTCCTCTTGTTCCTTGGTTTTAATAACGTTATACTCCTTTTCCAACTTCTTCATTTTTTTGGCGTTATATTTCATGGAATATGCCGATTGCATGAGTCCCTCAGGGTCCGATTCCGCTCTGACCGGAAGTTCTTTTTGGAAAAACTGCAACATAACATCCAAACACTTCATAAAATCATCAACAAAAACTAATATATGGCATGTTGGTAATGTAAGATAACATTTTATCATAAAGTATATTTACTTATGCAAAAACCAGAGATAAGGTGACACGTTCCATAATAGACAATTAAAAACAAATGGGTGAATATATTGAGAAGTGAAAATGATTATTTTTTATTTTTGAATGTTTCACTGCTAGTCTAGAATGGGGTTTTTGGGAAGCCACCAGGTTCTGCACTAAAGCAAAAATTTTAAGAAATCATACATTTTGAATATAAGAGCTTCACGGAGGTTAGGATTTCGTATGTTTTCTTAAAACATCCCTTTGTATATTTGAAACAAATTATTGTATCTTTTGACACCATAATATTTTTAAAAAATACAATTGTACATACATAAAATATTTATAACAAAAACTACTCACTGATGGATAGGTTTTTAAATAGCAAATTAATGAACTTAAACTTTTGAATTATAAAACAGCAACACTCTCATCTGCATATAAATTCTAACTGACCTTCAGGAATCACAAGCATCTATAATGTCGTAAACAGGTTTTTGCTTATTTAAAATGATTAAAGCAAAAACAGATTCACGGAGGATAGAATCAATTTTTGTAACACCTACATAAATGGTTATAAAAATTATTTCTTTTAATTTTTAATAATATATTATATTTGATTCGATTGCTTTGGATGTGTTTAATTTACTTGGTGAACTGATATTTTTAGTATGGTTTTGCTACCTCTGATATTTGAAAACATATAGGTTAACCTGGAAAGAGTAACAGTCACGGAGGGTAGGTTTTAGACTTTTAAAACATTGTAAAAAATTATAAATTGCGGTTAAAAATCTGGAACCTGAGCTTTAATATCTACACTCACAGGCAAAATAATCGATCCACACAACTTTTCGATGAATTTCAATCGCAAATAACTTTTTTATTTGATGTCGGATTTAAACGAATATTAAAAAAATTGTAGATAAATTAATGGACAATCGCTCACATTTTAAAAAATTACTAAAAAACAGGCGTACGTTTATAATATACAGGTTTAAACAAAAATATGTTTTTTACCATAAGTTTAAGACACTCTGTAGAGTGGCAAAACCGTATATTGTTCTAAATTAAGTTTTATTTATCAAGTCACATCTATTCTTAACAGTTTTTGTTTTTGGTTCACCTCAATATATTTATTTTTGTGAAATATATTAATTTTTAAAAAAAAACATTGCAATTTCCAATATTTTTCTGTATGAAGAACTAAGTTTGCTATGGTCAATCCATAGCCTATGGAGGATAACAGTGACAGTTTTGTTGAATCATCCCATACTTGGACATGTCATACACGGCTTTCAAAAGCTATTAAATTGTTTTTTTGCAAATTAATGTTTAAATTTTGAGGTGTATTCTTACTTTAAAAAATGGATATGTCTCCGACTGATGTTGCCAGGGCCATTAATTTAATCCAGGATGGACGGTCACAGTATTACGTGGCAAGTGTTTTAAACGTCGCAAGAAGTAAAGTACAAGGGGCAACATCAGTCGGAGACAATTTTAAAAGTAAAAAGACACCTCAAAATTAACACATTAATTTACAAAAAACAATTTGATACCTTTTGAAAGCTGTATATGACATGTCCAAGTATGGAATGATTCAGCAAAACTCTCACTGTCATCCTCCATAGGCTATGGATGGACCATAGCAACCTTAGTTCTTCATACAGGAAAAATATTGGAAATTGCAGTTTTTAAAAAAAAATCCATATTTTCCTCAAAAATAAATATATCGAGGTGAACCAAAAACAAAACTGTTAAAAATAGATGTGACTTGATAATTAAAACTTAATTTAGAACAATATACGGTTTTGCCACTCTACAGAGTGTCTTAAACTTATGGTAAAAAACATATTTTTGTTTAAACCTGTATATTATAAACGTACGTGTATTTTTTAGAAATTTTTAAAATGTGAGCGATTCTCCATTAATTTATCTACAATATTCTTTAATATTCGTTTAAATCCGACATCAAATAAAAAAGTTATTTGCTATTGAAATTCATCGAAAATTTGTGTGGATCGATTATTTTGCACGTGAGTGTATAACGATATAAAATAAAGAAAATCTTACCTTCAACATTCCTTCCATATCCAGAGACATCAGCTCCTCTTTGCCCAAGGTCAACATGGCCAGAGCCACCTTGAAAATGATCTCCATGCCTTCAGACAAGAAAACGTCCATGATTCTGCAGGCCAGGGGCAGAGTCAAGGCGGTGGTGAACAGCGTCAAAAACCAACTGGACGCATACATTGAGGTGTGGAAGTTTTGCGACTGAAAGTGCTGACTCAAGTCAGGGATGTACTCGGATACGAGGTTCTCGAGTTGGTACATGCACAGACCTAATTCGGCCATACTGGGCTTAAACATGTCCCTCATCCTGTAGTCTTGCATTATTTTTACAAGTACTGCAAAGGTTTCCTCTTCCGGCATCTGCATCAGAAGGGGGATACACATTTCGTAACGTACGCATTAAGGTGTTTCATTTAAAACGAATTTTTTTTTTCTTGCTGACACATGAAAATTTTGTTTTTTAGGTTGAAAAAAAAAATTCCCTGTAAATTTGAGCCCTTAATTTTGATTCTAAGTACTTCCTTTTTAATTTTGTAGTTTTTCCATATAAAAAGCATGTATTTTTAATCATTTTTACTTTAAATTTCTATATTTTGGGTGGGTTTTGAATTATAATTTTTATCACCATAATTTTCTGCATAGTATTCACGGTTTTTGAAAGGCCCTGCATCAATTTTGTTTTTGATTTATTTACGTTGATTGTAGTAGCTCCAAAAGTCGTTTTTTCACTCTTTTCACATATTTTTGAGAAAATCGAGCGAATGACTGGTTTTACCGAAAAAGTTCAAATGAAAAAGTTGTAGAAAATTAAATTTTTGACAAAAAAGGTCTTTACGTTCATATCACTAAAGTGCTTTTTTTAAGAGATATAAGCAATATATAGTTGTTGAATCAAATTACATAAATTTCAATAAAACCTATTTTTTCTTTGTTTTTGGTTATTGAATTGCTTATATCTCTTAAACAAAGCACTTTAGTGATATGAACGTAAAAACTTTTTTGTCAAAAATTAAATTTCCAACAACTTTTTTATTTGAACTTTTTCGGTAAAACCAGTCATTCGCTCGATTTTCTCAAAAATATGTGAGAAAAAGTGAAAGGAGGAGCTACTACAATCAACGTAAATAAATCAAAAACAAAATTGATGCCGTGCCTTTCAAAAACCGTGAATACTATGCAGGAAATTATGGTGATAAAAATTATAATTCAAAACCCAGCCAAAATATAGAAATTTTTAGTAAAAATGATTAAAAATACATGCTTTTTATATGGAAAAATTACAAAATTAAAAAGGAAGTACTTAGAATAAAAGTTAAGGGCTCAAATTTTCAGGGAATTTTTTTTTCAACCTAAAAAACAAAATTTGTATGTGTCAGCAAGAAAAAAAAAATTTCGTTTTAAATGAAACACCCTAGTACGCATGCGAAGGTAAAAAAACCCGGAAAAATTGTGAAATTTTCGTAAGTAATATCATAAGGGCATTTAATTTTTCCGAAAAGAATCGAAAAAACACGTTGCTAAGTAATATTTTAACAAAAAGCATGAGTGCTGGTGGCAACAAAAATCCGAGTCGAAGAGGAGGATTTTTGCACCTGCACGAATGCTTTTTGTTAAAAAATATTACTTAGCATTGTGTTTTTTCGATTTTTTTCACAGGAAAAATTAGATGCCCGAATGGTATTTGACAAGACTATTTCATGAGTAACAATTAACAATTAAAATATAAATTGCAATTTTTGGTGACAACAGCTGTCAAGTTTTGCCGCGGGTAAACTCGAATAAACTGCTGACAGGTGCTGTCACACAGTTTTTTCACCTAGAAACCATTTGTAATTCAAAATTGCGCGTTTGTGATTGGTGGAAATTAAGACGAGGGAAATAGTCAGAAAAATTAACCTTTTTAACATTTTATTAAAAAAAATGCTAACGGCCATTTCAAGAGCGCGAAACGCAGGAATTACAAAACTGTTTTCATAATTTGTAGATAATTTATTATATAATATTTTGGCGTCAAAATTGTCAAAAATATTCTTCTTTTATTAGGCTATAGGGTAAACGGACACAGTGTACAATTAAAGACCGTCAAAAACTATAAAATTTAAGCAGTTTTTGAGATATAGTCAATTCCATATTATATGTAAAATGTAAAAAAACTGTTCTTCTTTTATAACTTTTGACGACATTTTCGGATTCAGCGAATAATATTTCAAAGGAATTGACTGATAAAAGTCCTGGATACAAATTGCTGTTGACGAGAAATATTAGTGGCTGCTTTTTCGCTATGACATTTTTGACTAATTCATTTTTAGAGAGTAAGAAATATAGTGATATTTGCAACAAACTATTTTAGAAGTCGGACCAAGGAATTAGTAGTTACCTTCAGAATCCAGAAAAGGGATGAGGAATCCGAGAAAGAAATATATGAATTATATGATATTTACAAAAACGAAATAAAAAATTACCTAAAACAGCAATTTATCTTTAAAAATTATTTAACAATTTATGTTATTTGATGTAAAGTTGTTATGTTTATATAAAAATTGTATGTCCAATAACTATGGTCCATGTGTCCAATTACTATATAAAATGTCCAATTACTATACTTTTTCGCATGTTTTCATAAAACTATTATTAAAAATTCCAATATTAGAACCTAATAAAAGAAGAATATATCTAACAATTTTGATGCCAAAATATTATATAGGTACCTAATAAATTACCAACAATTTTTCTGAAAATTATGGGTGAAAAAGTGAATTTCCGACACTGATTATAATCATAATACATTGCGCGTCAAAATTAACGCATAATAAGTAAAAAAAAAATAACTCTAAAACGCCTTTACCAATCTTTATACAATTTTGTATAAAAATACTTCAACTTATATCTCAGTTTAAAGCCCTTTTATTTAATAATAAAAAAAAATTTTTTTTAATAATTAAAAAATATTCTGTTTTTTTTACTTATTATGCGTTAATTTTGACGCGCAGTCTATAATGATTATAATAATTATTCCTGTTTTCAGTAAGAATATTCAACCATTACACAAAAAAACATATTTGGCGCTGTATAACATAACTTTTATTTGACACTTCGATTTATAAAATTATAATTTTGAAATTTTTAATGGATTTCTTTTTACTTATTTCAATGTTTATAAACTATAGTTTTATTTTTTTTTGTAATAAAGTATATTTTTTTTAATTAAAATAATGTTTTCAAATTTGTATATTTTCCAAAAAAATCAAATTTTACCAAAAAAGACAATTTTTCCAAGGCCGAGAAGAAAAATAAAAAAAAACGAAAAAAATGTTTTCGACACTTTAAAGCCCTATTGGACGACACAGTTAAAGTTAAACAACAAGTTAAATTTTTTAAAATAATCTAAAATATTATTAAATTTTTCAAACATAGTAAAGTTTTTTTTTAATCTTGAACAAATTGTGGTTTCTTTACTATAAAACTTTTCAGTCGACAAAAATCAATAATTTAAGACACATACCGAAAAATGATTTTACCTGCATAAGTAAGAGGCCTACTATAAATCCTGAACCCTGACAATAGCCGACTTCCCGATCGTGCAGGGAGTAGGCCTTGATGACGTTAAAAAGAGATTCCTGCCCAAGGCCGTCCTTTTCTTTGAAGAAGTCGTGTTCCGGATAAGTCCGGGCGATGTCCCTGCGGATCACCTTTTCGCAAGGAGATTTCGTCTGAAACGTTGATTGAATTATAGGTAAGTGGCAGATCAAGATTTTGCACGATACTTTGAGATTTTAGTTTTCTTTTTATGTGCACAGTAAAAAATTTTGCCCGTGTAAATTTTTTAGTGTATACGGGTAAAAATATTAGAGTTGATTTGTAAGTGTAAAAGTTACACTACAAAATACACTAGGTAGCATTTAGTGCTTATTAACTTTATTAAACACATTTAAAGAATATGAACATTATTCATTGGTACATTCACCCTATTTATTATTAAAATAAATCAAAAGGGTAGAAAAACTTAATGCGAGTGTTTATTACCCCTTAATGTGTTAAAAAGTGACAAAATTTACACTACAGTGCATGCCAATTTCTTTGTCTGTTTTGATGATACTAAGAGCTCTTTTTTCTTTACACTACTAGTGCAAATTGTATCTGCAGAATGGGACCAACCCACACCATGATGAAACTGAGAAAAAAGCTATCAAAGATTTTAATAATTTTAAAATTACCTGTTAATTTTATGCCGATTTTGGACTTACGGAGGTTTAAGGGATATAATTTAATAATTTCATCAGGTGGATTTTGTGATGTTATGTGTAAGGGTGACGAAAAAAATGGGCTTTTGTTGGTTGGTTCCTTTCTGCAATTTATGAAAACTACTATCTGATGTATGTATGTATTTAAAGAAAAGCGAAAATTATTTATTTCCAAACAAAATACAACTGATATTACTATTATAATGGTAATATGAATTAATTTTGATTCTATTTGAAATTCGTTCACATCATCTTCCAACCCCACCTCATCTTGTAAGCTACCAAAAAAATGCATCAAGACTTTATATTTTGCAGAAGCAGGAAATCTTTAAAGACTTTGGTAGTGGGTCTACCAGCCTGCTTTTTTACAAAAAAGATCCAACCCACTTGCAGATACTGTACAGATTCTAATTTTGGATTAGTAATCCACACTATTATTGAATGTTGGTTGGTTCAATGATTAATAGATTTCACTACACTTGCATTTTGGCTATGACCTATTTTGCAGATAAATTATACATACTTAATTAGTTCATAGGCTAAATATCTCGATTTTTTTTGGTTTTGTGGGTTGGTTCCTTTCTGCAGAAAGGCGTCCAATTAAAGTTAAATTACACCAAAAGTGGCAAAATAGACTGAAAATAACCGAAATGCGTTTTAAAGTGTTTGGTTAGTACCTATCTACCTACGCAGTGCATATCCGGAGATATCGCGTTGTGGAAGTGTGACATTTTTGTTCAGTTATATTTTAGTTACAGTGAATCCATAAGAGGACATTCTTATTTTTTGGTAAGTATTATACTTTCTTTTTCTTTAAGCCTTAATACTCAATAAATACCAATATGTTAAAATGATGTCCATATCCGACCCATATTATATATCAATAATTTACGGCAGTAGGTCGGGTACTTGTAACATTAATAATATAAATACATACACACTTGATTTACTTTTTTCAAGCGTAATGGTTGTTATATTAAACTATACCTACATTTTTATTAATATTATGGAAAATTTGTACACCTGTGGTAAATCCTCGACATACAGCCGCCTGACGCCTCTCTACCAATGGGATCACTAATTTTTTATAACAGAAAAATGGATAACTGATGAATTCTCAAGATAATTCATTGCTTACAAGTTGACAGCCAGTAAAACATTGCATTGATCTAAAACTTTTACGTTTTAAGGAACCATTTTGCTTAAGCCAGCCATACGACTCAAATATAAAATTATATTTTAAAAGGCACCGATTTTGATAATTGTCATAGATTTTTGTTCCAAATAAATGTTTCTCTTTATTTACCTTTTCGTTTTATTCACTACCACCAATAGGTTTTACTCAAATAATAGTGTTAATTTACACTAGAAGTTTGCACTAAAAGAGTAAAAGTACCTTAATTTACACTGAACAAAAGTGGGATTTTACTCAGGAAGTGTAGAAGTACACGATTTTAGGTAAATTAACACTTTTTAATACAGTGTAAAATTACTTTATCCTATAGTTTTAAATCATACTTGCTTACTTGGGGAAAATTACACTACAAATGAACTCTAATTGTAGTGTTATAAAACAACACTATTTAGTGTGGACCTGTGTGAACTCTAATTAGTGTTGCTAGAGTGGATTTTTTTTACTGTGTGAGCAAATTACTTATTTATAATCAAAAATTACTAAACCCAATATTTTTTATATTCTTGGTACATGTCAAGTTATTTAAATAAAATTAAACTAATAGTAGCATGGTATAAAAATTCTTATGCTTAGTTTTGACAAAAACAAATACAAAAATATAAAAAAAATTGTTCCTTAGTTCAAAATTAAACACAGTAGTTGTCATTCCTTGGGGGTCAAAGTAAGCAGGTTTTTTCTTTATTAATTTCGCATTAGTGCTACAGTTTTTGATAAAAAAAATCATAAAAATTAACGTGATTTGATGGGCAAAGTGAAACAAGGTCATAATTTACACGAATCCAATTTTTTTCTTCAAAAACAGTATAAAGAGATGACTACTTATTAAATGAAACCCTGTATAAAAAAGGTAGGATAAATTTTCGAAATTTTCCAAAATTCTCCAAATTTCCAAAATATTCAAAAATTTCAAAATGACTTGGTGGTTCAGTTTTTTGTTCAGAAACAAAAAAAGTTCTTAAACAATGAATTAATAGTTTTTACAGAAAAAAATTCAAAAGGTACGATACGATAATAGTATATTAAAGAACTAATGTCATAAGAGGTCATTTTGTTTTGTAATGGACGAGTTTATGCTATTTTATCTATTTTGCAAAAATTTTATAAAAATAATAAATGTTATACCTTAAATTTAATTTGGTCGAATTTTACTTTAGATAGTTGGTATCACAGCCATTGGTTTGACAGTCAATGTCAAAATCGATTCGCCATGCCGTCCTTAATTTACTTATTTACAATAAGCGGTTGTTAATGTTAAAGTAGAAAAAAAGGATTTTCTTTGGTGTTAAACAAAATTTATTGCCAGAAAAGTCTCGTAAGTACTAGAAAAATCATAAAAATATTATAACCAATATGCAAAATATTATGATGTTTTAAGTATACTATATATAGCCAACCTATAAAATCAGAATTTTGGGAGGGATAAAGTATTTCATTACAGCACTGAAAGCGGTGATATAATGAAGTCATTATGAACGCAAAATAGATAAAATTCCTAATAGAATATTATAATTAAATAAATAAGTAAACTGGATTGTTTTAAAAAAGATAATTTCCTGTTTTTCTAAGTTTACTTAAGTATATTATCGTGTTATTAAATTGTTTTTAGTAGTTAAATACTTATTTAATTGTTAAAAAAGCGTGATTCATAGGCATTGTTATTCTATTTTAAGACCGCATACTCTAAATACGCAAAATTACAAATAAAAAAAATATGCGATCAGGTTGCTAAACATTTTTAAAGTTGATAAATTATTAAACTGCACTTTATTTTTACTATTTCCTATTTCAAAACGCACTTAAGATAAACCGATTTATCCATAACAGTCATTTTTATTATCCTTTTTGTTATATCCAAGTGCGGAAATTGTTATTTTATGTTTTAAGATATGGGTGAATATATTGAGATGTCCCCCAAGTGAAATGATTATTTTTTATTTTTGGTTGTTTCACTGTTAGTCTAGAGCTTCAGGGAGGTTAGGATTTCGTATGTTTTTTTTTTAAACATCATTTTGTATATTTGAAATAAGTTATTGTATCTTTAACACCTTAATATTTTTAAAAATACAATTGTACGTACATAAAATATTTATAAAAAAATCTATTTACTGAGATATTACACTTTACGGTGGATAGGTTTTTAAATTGCAAATTAATGAACTTAAACTTTTGAATTATAAAACAGCAACACTCTCATCTGCATATAAATTCTAACTGACCTTCAGGAATCACGGGCATCTATAATGTCGTAAAGAGAGGTTTTTGCTTATTTAAAATGATTAAAGCGCCATCCGTTGCATAAAACTTAAAGCTAAAACGGATTCACGGAGGATAGAATCAATTTTTGTAACACCTACATAAATGGTTATAAAAATTATTTCTTTAAATTTTTAATAATATTTTATATTTGATTCGATTGCTTTGGATGTGTTTAATTTACTTAGTGAACTGATATTTTAGTATGATTTTACTACCTCAGATATTTGAAAACATATATGTAGGTTAACCTAGAAAGAGTAACAGTCACGGAGGATAGGTTTTAGACTTTCAAATTCAAATGAAAGAACAAAAATAATGATTGTTAATTTATTTTTACCTTTATGTATTCGGCATATAATTTTTTTTCCGGAGCTTCAGTGGCGGAACACAAGAGCTGCCACACGATCGGCCGGAAGTGCTGCGGCACGCCCATGCGCACAAGCTCCTTGATCTGCGCATTCTGCTTTTTCCAATTGTTTTCCCAGTCGTTCACTATGTGACCCCATTTGGTCCACCTCTCCTCCTCGCTGCCATCCTCCCCCCTCTCGTGGGTGGAACTGGCCCCTAAAAAGATTTTATTCTATAAGATCTGAAGATACTGATTTGTAGGTTATATTTTATATTACAAGACATTTTGTTGAGTATCTGAACAACTGAACGTCTGAAGATCTAAAAAAGACGTCTGAAAGACATCTTTTGATAGACGTCTGAAAGACATCTTTTGATAGACGTCTTAAAGATATCTTCATTTAATGTTCTAAAGACATCTTATAAATGCCTGATACCGCCGTTTATTTATTTTTATTTTTTTATGAAATAGTGAATTTTGACAAGTCAAAACCAAAATTATATTCCATAATCAGCCACTTCATAGTAAGATATAATTACACATTTCCTGAAAGTTTCAGATTTTTATTTTTTCCTCAACACAATGATTTTTGAGGGCAAAATTGACTAAATTTAAGAATTATCAAGTTTCAATAATTTTTTTTATAAAGAAAATGATAGTCTAGAAACTTAATATTGTATAAGTATACCTGAAAAAAAGCAACTTTCTAGATTTAGCAGAATAGGCACAGGAGCTAGACAAAAATCACAAAAATCGGCAAATTATCATGAATCTTTGGTGGTTTACCATTCTTTTATGAGATTAACTATTTGGATAATAATAATTTATATCGAAAACACACTTACTGAACAATAAAACAAAATTAAAATCATTTCAATATTTGTCACAGAAAAAAAGTTCTGGCCCACTATAAGAGAGTAAGAAATTGACACGATTTCAGATTTCTAAAGGGTGCCGATTAAAAGTAAAAAATCCAAAAATTAAAACGGCGACGGATTTTCATATTTGATACCTAAAAGATCATCCTCAATTTTTTTTATCAAAATAAAAAATCAAGCAGCGCACCCCATTTGGTGTTTTTATTTGGAATGACTCACATGTTTTTGTCAAAAAATCGTAATAAATACCTTTAAACTTGACTACTAAAGTTTTAGGCTTCAAAAACAACTGTTTGAGAATCTTGTTGTCGTTTTTCTTTCCTTTCGGAGTGCACTGTTCGTTTGTAATGCCGGAATACATGGTAATTAGTATGAGCATGGTGTGTCGCTTATGACATCATTGAATAAATTTAATTGAACAATTTATATAGAGTTTGAAAGAATTTGAAAGAAGTTATCGTTACGTCGATAAAAATTACTTACTAGAGCGCCAATGTGTATTACAAAAATGATAACAATATTGTTTATCATTAATTATTGTCAGCCGATATCTGATATCTTATCCATATCTTTTGAATTATTTCTTATACATGTTTTCTCTATATACAGGGTGAGTACTTTAACTTGAAACTCAGTATGCATTTTAAAAAATGTAATAAAAAAAATCAATTTTGATCGATTTTTCTTTATAAGATTCTGCAATAATTTTTTTATAAAAATATCACTTTTTTTGGTAATAATTACCTTATTAAATTAAATCTGATTTTTCACCAATATTTAAGTTTCCTTTGGTTTAAGTTTTATACAATATTTCATTCGGTGATAATTATCAATTGCGCACCATGGTCACTTTTTACCATTTTAGTTCGAAGATTAATTTGCAAACAAAAAGACCTCCCTTCGTTAAGCAGTTATTCATAATGGATTAACTGTCGAAGAAATAATAGAAATTATTTTGATTTATGCAGAAGCAGGCAGGAATCTTGAGGATGCTGTTAATATCTACGCTCAGCGTTTTCCGGATAAAATTCGATCGCGGACTTCATTTCACCGTATAGTCAAGCAGTTCAATACAAACGGGAGTGTTCAACAGTCACAGGTGGAAATAATGAAATTAATGTATTAGCAGCAACGGCCGCTAATCCTCATGCAAGCACACGAGAATTATCTAGAGATTTGGGAATATCCCAGAGCAGTGTTAGCAGAATATTATATAATAATATTAATAATAATATATTATTTTAACCTCACTTTTTATTGATTTGACATCTTTCAGACGAGTTTAACTTTTGTCTGCAATAATTGTATAAATCCAGAATGGTTTTTTATTTTTTGTATTATTTAATATACACTAAGTGACCTTTTTAATACACATTTACAAGTTGTGGCTTTATGGCGCTTTAGTCACGGGCTGAAGTTAGTTTTAAGTTAGTTGACAGTTGTCAAATGTCATACAATCGATAAAATAAAGTGCCTTTCTTGTAAGATAATACTTAATGTAAAAATTATTTTATTATCTCAACAAAAATACAAAAGAATTAAATAGTTTCTCAACGCCAATATTAGAAAAGTTTATATGAACATTGTACTTTCAATTTCGCCGGCAGTAAACTATAACTTAAATTCGGGCACGGACTCCACTGTAAAGTGCTCATAAAACATTTTCTTTACTTTCACTGTGAAAAACTGTCAATTTTCAAGAAAAACATTTCGATTTTTAACCTTTATAAATAATAAAAATTTGACATTTGACGGTGACACACAGATTCCCCTATTGTTTCATAGATGGCGCTCTATACAAATTTTTGATTTAAATCATTTTAAGATAATAATAAGTATTTGTCGTAAAAAAGGTACCTATAGTATGCACCTCGTTTATAAACTTTTCTATACACTCCTTTGAAGAACTAATAGGCCAGCATGTCTAATCAGAATATCAAAACATTGGTAAAAAATCGCTAGTTCTTGAGATATTGACATTTTCATGAATTTTATGAAACTTGACGCTTTAGATAAGTTTTTCGAGTGTCACAGCTACAAAACCACATTCTAAGATTTTATTTTATGTTGCGCAACCCTGAATGACCTGCTAATGATTACAGTTCAAAATAAAACTAATAGTAGTTTTTATCTTTTGAAAACAAGGTCTCAAGTTTTATAAAATTCATAAAAATGACAATATCTCAAAAACTAACGATTTTTTACTGAGGTCATATTTTGATTTTCTGATTGGTCATAAGTTAGGCTATCAGTCCTCCAAAGGATATCGTTGACTTTTGGGACACCCTGTATATAATATATAAGTTAGAACATTATTTTTCAATAAAATTTTTATTTTATTTTACTATAAGTAAGTTTCTACGTTATATTCTATAGCACCGGATTGAACTTGAGTTTTAGTTGCTAGGAAAAATATTCTATTAAACTGATTTACATACCATCTGCGGTATACAGGCCACCATTAAAATCGACAAAAAATACGGAATTCGCGATTTTGTAGGCAGACGTGTCAACATGCATATCCAACATCTATCACAACTACACTTACAACTTAAACTTAACATTCGCCGGTAAACATAAACAATCGCTCATTGGCCACTAAAATTGTGCACCTACTTGATCGCGAACGTACGCCTGGGTGTCAAATGGGCTTCGACATTTTCGCGAGCTGAGCGATTAGATAATTGGCCCGTTTGCTACGTGCAATCGTATAAATTGAACGTTATTCGATGTACTTATTGCGGTCAATTAGCTTAATGGTCTACCTACAAACGTTTTACCACGATAGATGTGGCAATGCATTAATGGGTATGTAATAGTGGAGGAAATACGATGTGTTTTAGCGATCGTTTCACTGTTAAATTTTTTTTAAAAATTACTATATTTTTACTAAGCAGTCGCATAGTAAAATTACAAAATGTTGAGTTGTATTGCAATTTTAATACGCATTTGTTGTAATATTACATTTTGTTATAGCCAAACTGAGTTTTATTATTACTATATTGTGGTGCGTAAAAACTTCCTAAACATGTTTAGTAAAATTACAATAGAAATTTTTAACAGTGTTGTTTGTAATGGTGCAGTTTAAAATAACACTTTAATTTTAAAATGAAGTAAACAAAATAATTTGTTGACAATGTATTTAAATTTACTTAAGAAAGTAATAGTATTTTATGTACAGGGTGATCCCCTATAATGTCGCCCCCTTTAACTTTTTTATTTTAAGTCTCCGAAAAAATTTCAAAGTGAGGTTATGTAGGTACTAAAAAATACTTTTTTTCTACGTATAAAGAAAATTGGAAAATTGATCAGTATACAGGGAAAAACAAAAAGTTTATTTTTTTTCAATGGATCACCCTATACAGGGTGGTCCAGGATTAATCTGAAAAATTATTTTTAAAAAATGTTTTTGGGTTTGTTTTTATTGTTTTTTCAGGCTCTATCGATCATTAAAATTTTTCAGATTAATCCTGGACCACCCTGTATATGTATTTATTTTTCAACTCCTTGTAAAATTCTAAGCATATTCCATATAACATACCATATACCTAAATTCAACCGTTTCTGAAATATTTAAATTATTTTTAAGATAATAAGTTGAAATATTTTGTCTTTCTCTGTCTGAGTAGGCCATTTTTACTTATTTAACAAGACATAATGTCACTATAATAATTTATTTTCAATAAAAATTTTGGTATACTGAAGCTTCTTGATTTCTAACAGTTTAAAAAAACATTTAATGATAACATTTCGAATGCGAATAGAAACAGAAACAGTTGAATTTAGGATATGGTTTGTTATATGAATTATGCTCAGAATTTTACAAGGAATCGAAAAATAAATTCATATATAGGGTGATCCATTGAAAAAAAATAAACTTTTTGTTTTTCCCTGTATATTGATCAATTTTTTATTTTTTTTAATACGTAGAAAAAAAGAATTTTTTAGTTCCTACACCTACACCACACTTTTAAATTTTTTGGGACACTTAAAATAAAAAAGTTAAAGGGGGGCGACATTATAGGGGATCACCCTGTACCTATCAAGTATGATGAACGCCATTTTATACACGAATTTAATTTAGGCAAATCAAAAATTTGTATAGAGCGTCGACTATGAAACAATGGGGGAATCTGTGTGTCACCGTCAAATTTAAAATATTTACATTTTATAAACACAATTATAAAGGTTATAAATAGAAATGTATTTCTTGAAAATTGAGTTTTTCACAGTGAAAGTAAAGAATATGTTTTATGAGCACTGTGTCCGAATTTAAGTTATAGTTTGCTGCCGGCGAAATTAAAAGGTCAGTACAATGTTCATATAAACTTTTCAAA